CTGACGAGGCACGTGATGAGCTATATGTCTTGCTTTTTCTTTTTTAAATATTTACTTTTCACTTGAAAGGCTGATTTGTAGGCAGAGATCTTCCATCTACTGGTTCACTCCCCAAATACCTGCAACGGCCAAGGCTGAGCTGATTTGAAGCCTAGAGCTGAAAGCTTCATGAGTGCAGGGGCCCAGCCACTGGAGCCATCCGCCTCCTTCCCAGGCCACAAGCAGGAAGATGGATCAGAAGTGGAGCAGCCAGGATATGAACCAGTGCCCATATGGGATGTCAGTGCTGCTGGTGGAAAATTAGCCTGCATTGCCACACTAGTCCTCTTGCTGCTGTGAAATTCGTTTTTTCACGAGTCACACTTTTTCTTTGGAGAGACAGAGAGGGGACTCTCCCATTTGCTGTTTGACTCCTCAAATACATTCAACTTCCTGGGCTGGGTGAGGCTGAAACCAGGGGCTTGGAATTCCCACCTTGGTGGTAGGGACCTACATACTTAAGCCATCAACTGCTGCCTGCCAAGCTTTGTATTAGCAACCTGCCTCGGAAACAGCATCGGGTGGAGATTAATCTGTTGTGCAGATTAAGTCACTGTTTGGGATGTCCCCATCCAGAGTGCCAGCTCACCAGTTCAAAGGCGAGACATTCTGTTAGCAGTATTACTGGGAATGGGCTGATGATGATCCAAGTGTTTGGATTTTTGCTAGTTGTGGGAAGCCTGTGCCTGTGGCCTGGGAACAGTCTAGGACTCCCCAAAGCCTTGGGACCTTGCACTCAGGTGGGAGACCTGGAATAAACTCCTGGCTTCAGATTGGCTCAGCTCAGGCCATTGCAGACACTTGGGGAGTGAATCAGTGGATGGAAGATCTTTCTGTTTTTTCTGTCTTTTCAATAAAATAATTCAAAAAGCAAAACATCACCCACCTTCATACCCCCCTCCCCCAAAAAAAACAAACCAAGTGGAGGTAGGACTCAGCTGTAGGCATTCTGATGTGGAATGTAGGCATTCAAATCAGTGACTTAACTCTTAACAATGCTTACTCAAAAGGAGGGAACCTCTGAATAATTTACAGTCAAATTGTCAGAATTGGAATAACTAATAATGAGGCCACTGTGGACTATTCAAATATTACATGGTTTGGGTCCAGCACGATACCATAGCGGTTAAGACCCTCGCCTTGAACGCACCAAGATCCCATATGGGCACCCATTCTAATCCCGGCAACCCCGCTTCCCAGCTAGCTTCCTGCCCGTGGCCTGGGAAAGCAGTCGAGGACGGCCCAAAGCCTTGGGACCCTGCACCCATAAAGGAGACCCCCAAGAGGTTCCTGGCTCCTGGCCTTGGATCGGCACAGTAACTGGCTGTTGGGGAGTGAATCACAGACAGATCTTCCTCTCTGTGTATCTGATTTTTCTTTTTTCTTTCTTTCTTTTTTTTTTTAATTTTTATTGGAAAGTCAGATATACAGAGAGGAGGAGAGACAGAGAGGAAGATCTTTCATCCGATGATTCACTCCCCAAGTGACCGCAATGGCCGATGCTATGCCAATCCAAAGCCAGGAACTTCCTCCGGGTCTCCTGCGCGGGTGCAGGGTCCCAAAGCTTTGGGCTGTCCTCGACTGCTTTCTCGGGCCACAGGCAGGGAGCTGAATGGGAAGTGGGGCTGCCGGGATTAGAACCGGCGCCCATATGGGATGCTGGGCGTGCAAGGCGAGGACCTTAACCACTGCGCCACTGCGTTGGGCCCTGATTTTTCTTTTTTTAATAATCTTACTTAGTTGATTAGGGTACAAAGGGTCAAGGCCTACAGGAAAGTGGGAAACACCATTGTTTCCACACTAATATAATCATTTTTGCCCCCTGTATGTGGGGTCAGGGGAGAAACAAAGGGAAAAACCCCACCCAGCCTCCCTCCCATCCCAGGTCCCCAATGTGAGGCACGCTCCAAGGGTCCTGCTCAAGCAGTTTTGATAGTTCAACAGGTCTGGATTGCTGCCAATCTCACCGTTCCAGTCGCGATGAAATCTACTCAGAATCCATTGGCTGACATAGTATCTTCATGGTTGGAGTTCTGAGATCAGTAGTTCAGTTGGAGGGATCTCCAAACAAACATCTGAGATGATCCCAGACCCAATTCTCGTGCGAGTTTGCCAGTACAGCGTCCGGCACAGTCTGTAGCCCCAATCAGCTTATGCACATGCTGGTCGTTGCTATTGCCAGGTCATTTCTGTTTCCAGCCCTGTCTTCACCTTGAACCAATGGGTTTTGTAGTCCAGCCCGATCCTACCCACTTCATACTCGGCCCTCATGCAAACCAGTGGGAGCTGCAGCCTAGTTGAGTTGGGGCGACTCCCCTTAACCCCACCAGGTCTGCTCCCTACCCTGGTTCCCATGCATGCCAGTCTCTTACACATCCCATTTAGCCCTTGTACTTGTCAATGGACATTGAAGCATAGTTCAATCCAACCAATCTACTATCCAGCCCACAAACATACTGGCAGGTGCCTTTCTGTTTAGCCACCCTCTGTATGTCTGATTTTTCAATAAAAATAAATCTTTAAAAAATATATATTGTTTCTTGGCCTTTTGGCTAAGATCAAGTGTAAAAAAATATATTATATGGCCCATCTGGATGCGGCTGCATGGCCTAGCGGCTAAAGTCCTTGCCTTGAGCGTGCCAGGATCCCATGTGGGCGACCTGGAGGAGGTTCTTGGATCCTGGCTTTCGATCAGCTAGCACCGGCTGATGCGGTCACTTGGGGAGTGTGAATCATTGGACAAAGATCTTCTCTTCTATCTCTCCTCCTCTCTGTATACCTGACTTTCCAATAAAAATAAAATAAATCTTTATATATATTATATGGCCCATCAAACAAAATTCAGATTGAGTGGCAGGTGTTTATCCTAGTGGTTAGGAAGCAGGCATGAGTGCTTGGGATGAACACCTGTTCTTGTTTGTGGTTTCAGCTTGTAGCCAGCAGACCCTGGGAACCAGTGAGTGAGGATTCACTTTTTTTCTCTAAAGATTTTTATTGTTTTGTTTAAAAAACTTATTGGAAAGTCAGATATACGGAGAGGAAGATCTTCCATCTGATGTCCACTCCTCAGTGGCCACAGTGGTCAGAGCTGGGCCAAATTCTGAGGTAGCAGCCAAGAGCTTCATCCAGGTTCCCACACAGATGCAGGGTCCCAAGGCTTTGGGCTGTCCCTGACTGCTTTCCCAGGCCACAGGTAGGGAGCTGGATGGGAAGTCAGACAGCCCTAACACGAACTGGCACCCATATGGGATCCTGGCATGTGCAAGGTGAGGACTTTAACTGTCACGCTACCACGCCAGGCTCTAAAGGTTTTTATTGGAAAGACAGATCAGATTTACGGAGAGGATAGATTAGGACCTTCCACTTGCTGCTTCACTCCCATGTGGGTGCAGGGTCCCCAGGTTTTAGACCATCCTCTTCTGCTCTGTCAGGCCATGAGAGGGGAGCTGGATTGGAAGTGGAGCAGACACAACATGAAATGGAGCCCATATGGGATCCTGCTGCTTGCAAGGTGGGGATTCAGCCATTGAGCCATTGTACCAGGCGTGAGGACTCAAATATTTGACTTCCTGCTACAGACACGGGAAATTTATCAGTGGGTAGGAGCTCTTTTCTCTCATCAATCAATTAAAATACATAAATTATATGAAAAACGCAGACCCAGAGTGTGTGAGAAATGGCATTGTGATTGCAGATATGGTGTTTCCACAAGATGGGAGATCCAAGTGAGAGTAAGACGGAAGAGGACTGGGGTGGCTCCAGCGCAGGCTCTTGGCCTTGAACCCAATACAGTGAGGACAAGCAAAGCTCACCAAGGTCTTGCCAACAGTCATCATGGAAAGCACTTCTCCAAGCAGCAGCATGTAAAGAGAGGTTTCTGGAACAGAGCCGGTCTCTTTCTGCTTGTTGCCATCCAGAGAGGAATCGGAATCTGACAATCTCCAGACTGTGCGTTAGGACTCATCAGTTACTTTCAAAATCATTAGGATACGAGGCCACAGATGGTTTTTGAGACCTTTTGATAATAACTATGGATATGTAGAAAGCTGGAGGGCAGTGAAGATGGGTTCTCCCAGGCCGTAACTGGACCAAGCTCCTCACAGGAGTCAGGGCAGAGCTAGAATAACAGACACAGGCTCACACCTCAGCATGCACACACAGCACCACAGGGAGCCATAACTGATAAAGGATATAATGTAAATATTGACAGTATAAAAATTTAAAAAGTGATGGAAAACTCAAGAAAAGCCAAATGGCACATGGCTAAACACTATACAGATTGTTTTCTTGAAAGAAAAAATTTTAATAAACAGAATATAAACCAGATTTTCTTTTTACTTTATCCAAAATTTGTAGGTATGAACGCTTCTGCGTTTGACCATAAGGTCCATATTTTGGTCCATTACATTGCTAGAGTCCCCTCAGGATCCAGTTTGGTTTGATACCAGAAGGTGGTAATAGAATTCACCTTGAAAACCTATAACGACAGATTTTCATTTTTTTTTTCTTTTTTAATTCATTTGTATTGGAAAGTCAGATACACAGACGAAAAGAAGCTCTTCCGTCTGATGATCCACTCCACAAGTGATCACAACAGCCAGAGCTGTGCCAATCTGAAGCCAGGAACCTGGAACCTCTTCTGGGTCGGGGTGGGTGGGTGCAGGTCCCAAGGCTTTGGGCTGACCTTAACTGCTTTCCCAGGTCACAAGCCGGGAGCTGGATGGGAAGTAGGCTGCTGGGATTAGAACCGGCGCCTATATGGGATCCTGGAGCGTGCAAAGTGAGAGCTTTAGCCACTAGGCTACCATGCCAGGCCCCCATTTTTTTTTTCTTAGCTTAGAATTCCTCAACTTTAACCTCATCACTTTAGGTTTAATACAGGCAAATTACTTATTTGTATTTGTATAAGATCATACAAAAACTCCACAATAAATAATGAAAAGACTATGCAAAATCATTAACTTCTGTTTGTAATACAGAAAATACATGTTACTTTTAAACCAAAATAATCCCCTTGAAATACAAAAAAGTGACAGGGAAGAATGAAGACATTTATAGTGACTGCTTCTGGCAGTCAGCCTTGGCAAACCAATAGCCAGCAGCTCTTTCAGGAAAGTGAAGGTAGGTTTTAATTCGCAGATAAAGAATGTCTTCAACAGTTTAAAAAAATAGAAACTCTAAAAAAGCTCGTGAATCATATAGAAAAGCAGCTGAGAGCAGGGCTGGAAGCCGGAGCTTGGGTTAGCACCACCAGCGCAGCACAGGGTCCTGCTGGCTTGGCCTTCGCCCGTGCTCAGAACGCAGGCTCAAATGCTGTACACGTCATTTACAGTCAGGACAAAGGGCTTCAGGCGCAGGCTCCAGGGGCTGAGTCCGGAGTCCCAAGAGGCACCAAGCAGTTGTTTACAAAGGTTAGGTAGCAATCCAGATCACATGTTCCGACGATATAATAAATCCCGGGTTGCCTTGTCAACCTTTTGCTGGTAGTCCTCCAATTTGTCAAGTATTTTCTGGGACAGCTGGAAGAGAAACATACAGAACAGCACAGAGCCCGAGTCAGACTGAAGCTATTATTACTATTACTTCACCAACTAGACTCTTCACTACTCTGCTTCTTGCATTCAACAGTGACGTCAGCTCTGGGACTTGGGTGATAAAATCAGACTTTTCTATTACATATAATACTCCAATCTGGTTTGTTTCTTTCCTTCCCCTCTCCCTCCTTTCTTTCTTTTTTTTAAGATTTATTTATTTATTGGAAAGTCAGACATACAAACAGAATGAGATATAGAGAGGAAGATCTTCCATTCGCTGATTCACTCCCCAAATGGCTGCAACTGCTGGTGCGGTACTGAGCTGAGCCAAGAGCCAGGAGCCAGGAGCTTCTTCCTGGTCTTTCTTGTGGGTGCAGGGTCCCAGGGCTTTGGGCCATCCTCTACTGCTTTCCCCAGGACATAACGACAGAGGTGGATTGGAAGTGGACTAACTGAGACACAAACCAGCACTCAAACAGGATGCCAGCACCACAAGGTAGAATGCTAGCGTGCTGTGCCACTGTGCCAGTCCCATCAATACCAGTATTTAAAATAAAAGCATTACCATTTCTTTCCCAGCATCAAATAAGTCACAGCTCATGTCCCACAGTGACAAGCAGCTGGGATTTTCCAATTTTGGCTCTGGCGTCTGACTCCAGCTTTCTGCTCATGCAGACCTGGGACGGCAATGGTGATGGCGCTGGCAGCGAGGTTCCTGCTACCTAAGTAGGAGAGCTGAACTGAGCTCCCAGCTTCTGGCTCCAGCCTGGCACAATCCTAATGGTCACTAGTTATTTGGGGCAAACAAACAGTGGGTGACAGCCTTCTCACTTACATAGAAACTAAACAAAGCATCCCTTAGGGGCCGGTGCATTAGCTCAAGTGGCTAATCCTCCACCTTCAAATGCAGCATCCCATAAGGGCACTGGTTCATGTATCAGCTGCTCCACTTTCCATCCAGCTTTGCTTATACCTGAGAAGGCATTGGAGGATTGCTCAACGCATTGGGACCCTGCACTTGGGTGGGGGACCTGGAGGAAGCTCTTGGTTCTGGATCAGCTCAGCTTTGGCTGTTGTAGTCATTTGAGGAGTGAACCAGCAGATGGAAGCTCTTTTTCTATTAGAACAGTTCAGGAAGAAAAATATGCAAAAGTATCAGGAGCTTATATTTTGATTCGGTAACTAGTTTGAAATCCTGTTTAGTGAGCTCTAGTAACGGCTTGTGCAGCTACTCCATCTAACTGGTAAACAGGTAAGGGGCTCCTTTCCTGTAGCTAAGCAGCAGCTACTGCATGAATCCCAGGAAACACTCACAAGCGCTGACTTTACTCAGGAGCTGGCAACTGTATTCCAAGCCCCCCTCCTATATGGTCACCTGTCCTGAACCGGAAACCTCTTATGTCTACAAGGGGACAGGGAGGGAATAGGTAACAGGCTGTAAGTGGCTTTCCCTGTGCTAAACTCCTGAGAGCTGGAGAGGAGGCCAGCGCAGCGGCATACAGAAGGACTTAGAGAGCGTTTACTCACCGCCATGTTGTGACTGTTGGCACTGTTCTCGCCCAGAGCCTGGAGAAGCTGGTCAATGGAGGAGTAAGGCAGCCACACCATCGGGGCTGTTGCAGAGAGTGGAAACTGAAAGGGAAACTCGGTTGTTGAAATCAAAACCAAACAGACCTGCAAGGGGCACTGCTTCCGGGCAGCTGTTCTCGTGGGCCTCTAACAGGAAATGCCTAGTCCTGTCTTGTAACAAAAAGTTGCATGTGTACAAGCAGTCACATGCACAAGCAATCTGGGTCTTCCCTTTTCTCTTTTCAACTGGGAAAGTTGTTCCCTCCCTGGCTAAATCAAATACATTTTGCAATTCATGTCATCTCTTATAGAAAACACTCAATGTAACATCTTGAATTGTTAATGATAGTATTTCTATTCTGAAACTGACTGTGAATTCAAATTATCTGAAACAAACAAACAAACAAAAAAACAACCAGGGCCCGGCGCGGTGGTGCAGTGGTTAAAGGTCCTCGCCTTGCACGCCCGGGATCCCATATGGGCGCCGGTTCTGTCTCAGCAGCCCCGCTTCCCTTCCAGCTCCCTGCCTGTGGCCCGGGAAAGCAGTCGAGGACGCCCCAAAGTCTTGGGACCCTGCGCCCGCGTGGGAGACCCGGAAGAGGCTCCTGGCTTCGGATTGGCATAGTATCGGCCGTTGTGCTCACTTGAGGAGTGAATCATTGGATGGAAGATCTTCCTCTCTGTCTCTGCTGTCTGTATATCCGCCTTTCCAATAAAAATTAAAAAACAAATCTTTAAAAACAGAAACAACAAAATCAGGAAAAGTTCTGAGTAGTTTCCTGAGAGTGCTTGCCTCTGCAGCTAACCAAACTTGCTTAAACTTGGTTCTTTCATTACCATTGGAGTGAGGCTGAGCAACTTCCTTAACCCTGGAGTCTATTTTCTCATGAAGATGAGGAGGAAAAGGAGGAACAGGATTAAAGCAGCCCCTTAAATGCCTTAGCGTATTCCCTGCATATATACAACACAACATTATTTTTATTTGCCTCCCTCCAAATACTCACTGAAGCCAGGTTATTTTATCGGAAACAATGAAATATATTCCATTTTAAAAACAGGAAATTATATTACTTCTTGGCCTTTTGGCTAAGATGAAGTGTAAACAGGAAACTACAGTCTAGGAGTGCCAACATTTAGTTGTATAACCAGACAGTAAAGGGCAGACACACTCATTTATCATTCCATTTCTGCCAGACCTTTACCTTGGTGTGTTAATCCAGAAGAAAAAGAAACCATCTACACAGACTTACCTCAATTCCAAAGTACTGATGGCCTTTGCCCAGGACAGCATCCACATATTCTGAGACTAAGTCCACTGCTTCTTCTAAAAGGTCATAGTTTAAATACAGACGAAGCAGCTCAGCGGCGTCCACTTTCTGTAAAAAGTAAGTGATTAGGGCCCACTGCAATGGCCTAGGGGCTTAAGTCCTCGCCTTGAAAGCGCCAGGATCCCATATGGACGCCGGTTCTAATCCCAGCTGCTCCACTTCCCATCCAGCTCCCTGCTTGTGGTCTGGGAAAGCAGTTGAGGATAGCCTCGGGACCCTGCATCCATAGAAGAGACCTGTAGGAAGTTTCTGGGTCCTGGTGTAGCACCAGCCGTTGCGCTCACTTGGGGACTGAATCATCGGATGAAAGATCTTCCTCTCTGCCTCTCCTTCTCTGTATATCTGACTTTGCAATAAAAGTAAATAAATCTTAAAAAAAAAAAAGTAAGTCATTAGGAACATGCCTGGGGTCAGTGCTGTGGGGGTGGTGCAGTGGGTCATGCTGCCACCTGCAGTACTGCTTTGAGCCCCGGCTGCTCCACTTCAGATCCTGCTCTGCTAAGGTGCTTGGGAAAGCAGTGGAGGATAGCCCGGGTGCTTGGGCCCCTGGACCCACACGGCAGATGCAGATAAAGCCTCCAGCTCTCTCTTTAGTCTGGACCTGGCCCCCATTACTGGGGGAGTGAACTAGTGGACAGAAGATCTTTTTCTTTGTCACTCTCTTTTTCTACATTCTAAAGAAATCAGTTAAAACAAAATAAAACCAAAACACCACCACCCATGTCTTGGAACCAGGGCTGTGATATAGCCCCTTGGGCTGCTGCTTGTGTCACTGACATACAGTGAGCACTGGATGAGCAGCGCAAGTGGCCCAGGGTTGACAGCACTGGGCTTTTATGCATCTCAGGGCAGACCTTGGCAGAACCTGTAGCAGAACAAGGTCTGGGTGGTTCCTGCAGGCATTCCAGACATTCCTGAGGAGATAAGGCTAAGATGAGGCACACCCTCACTCTGCCTCAGGCCAGCACCCTGCTGTTTAACCTAACGTTAGGTTCCTGGCTTCACAGTCGGGCCCAGGACACTGGCAGTTCCGGTCATTTGGGAAGTGAAACTGCAGACGGAAGATGTCTTTCTCTCTGTAAGTCTGCCTTTCAAATACATTCATTCATTCACTCATTAAAAGGAACAGGTGGAGTAGTTGTCAAGCAACACAGAAGTGCTTCTTTAAACCAGTGTTGTCAAAATTGGGTGGGATCAATCATTAGTTTCTCAATGCCTAACAAAACACCTTAGGCAGGCTAACTTCACAGGAAAAAGGAATGTGTTTAGAATGTAAGTATCTGGTTCCCTTTTTAGATAAATGATGCCTGAATTCCCACATCTCTATCCTGGGGTTAGAGCTGGATTCCCAGGACCCTGCTACCAGGGCTAAGCACAACGTGAGCTTGTTCCACGCCCTTTCTTCTGTTTTGTTATTCAAGACCTACTTTAACTTTTCTCTACTTCAGTTTCCATATTGGCAAAGTCAGAAATGCTGAGTATGAAAATGACAGCCTGTTCACATTAATTCTCAGAATTACATAAATGACAAATTCAAAACAAGTTCAAAGGATTACCCGTTTAATACCCATTATATCAACAAAGTGACATAAAAGTAAATTCTTTTCACTTTTATGATTTTTGAAAGTGATTCAAAAATCAATAGTTCTTAAACTTAGGCCAAATTAGGAGCTTGTTTAACTACAGATCCTAGGCTCCCAGCTGGCCAAGGGATCCAGGAATACATCATTCCGCAAGCCCATTACCTCATTAGCCTGATGCAGACCATTTGCCTCTGTGGGTCTCCTGGGGTTCATGAGAAGGTGTGGATATTTCAGTGCTGGGCTCCAGCAGGAAGTCCTTAAGCCATGGAGGCAGTTCTCACTCCCAGCTTGCTGGTTTAGGGACTTTTTCCTAAACTGGAAGCTAGGTGAACCTTTTTTCTATAAAGTTAACCTTAGGTTTTTCTAAGTAATGAAAAATAAACTAATATATATGGACCAACTACCTAATTTGGACAACACTGATCTTTTATTGTATTTAAATACTATCCCTGTGAATTTAAGTAATGAATAGTAAACACTGTGTCATACATGTGCTCATTATTCTAAAAATAAAGCCCTTGTTCACCGAGTACACCATGAGGCAGTAACTTAATTACTAATCTGTGGAACTTTAAACACCCAGTACCACGTATGGAATTGAATTTATATTGTTGTTAGTGATTTTTGCTATAACTGAGACACTGCCCAAAGAATGTCAGTGACATAAACAACCACTTCACTGTTTCACTCCTTAAAAAATTTTATTAATCTTTTCAGCTACTTGAAAGACAAATCTACTCATTCAACAAATGCCTGCAAGAGCCAGGCTCTTATAGTTCCATCTTAGTCTCCCACGTGGGCTGCAGGGACCCTGGGACTTGAGCCCTCATCCACCGCTTCCTGTGATACAGGGAGCTGTATCCGAGGCTGAAGAGCTGGAAACTGAACCGGCGCTCCCGAATGGGAGGCACATGTCCCAAGCTGCTGCTTAGCCCACTGTGCCACAATCACTCCCCCTTCATCACTTCCTTTTCAACTGTACCAGAACATTATTTAGAGTGATATAGAGGGCTCACACTCTCTTCCAGTGAAATACCACTTACCTTGTAACTATTTATGAGCCAATTAGGCAGAGGCACTCCGTGAGATAAAAGCTTGTTGATTACACAGTGGTGATACAAATTATTCTGGACTTTGTATTTTTCTAGGTAATTTGATAATAGTTGCCAGGCTTCATCAGTAGCACTGAAAAAGAACAGATGAGCTTCAAATTCTTAAAAGCATCATAACCGAATACTCCTGATTTAGCTAAAAGGTATCTATCATTAGGGTCAATGTGACTTAGGGGAACACTATTTTCTTTTTAATAAGAGTTATTTATTTTTATTGGAAAGTCGGACATACAGAGAGGAGAAGAGACAGAGAGGAAGATCTTCCGTCTAATGGTTTACTCCTAAGCAGCTGCAATGGCTGGAGCTGAGCCAATCCAAAGCCTGGAGCCAGGAGTTTTTCTGGGTCTCCCACGTGGGTGCAGGGTCCCAAGGCCTTGGGCTGTCCTTGACTGCTTTCCCAGGCCACAAGCAGGAAGCTGGATGGGAAGCGGAGCAGCGGGGACACAAATGAGTGCCCATGTGGGATCCCGGCACTTGCCAGGCGAGGCTTAGGCACTGGGTCACCATGCTGGGCCTAACACTTGGCTCTGGCTCCTGCTACCCAGCTGGGTGATCTGCACTGAGTTTCTGGTTCCCAGCTCTGGCCTAATGACCAAGAGCCCTCAGTCACTTGAACAATGAATCACTTAAAAAGAAAGAAAAAGAACAAAATTATCTGTATAAGACAATTTAAGCAAAGAAAGCTACAAGGGGCGGCACTTTGGTACAACAGATTAAGCTGCTACTTTTGAAAAGAACAAAAATATTCACGCTGCCTTTCAAATAAACAAATCTTAAAAAGAATAAAAGCTATCATTTTGAGCAGGTGAGCCTGCCCAAGGAGCAGATGAGCATGGCTGTGTACCTGGACTCTTTAGTGGTGATGACAGAGGACAGCTGATTGGCTGCCAGCCAAGCCCAGGCTTCAGCTTGTGCGGCTTCTCCTCCAAACTGCAACTTGATGCATCTGCAAAGAACAAGGTTTCCCACAAGTAAACCCTCTGCTCAAACTCACGGCTTCATTATGCTACTCAAACCAAAGACAGAAGACCACAATCATTCCAGTCTGCTTCCCAATTTACTATCAGCTGAGCCCATGGCAATGAGCAACTGTTGACAATGTGAAAATCTAAATACATCTCCAATCCACAAACCAGCTGACATACAGTTAGGCATACAATGTGAAAAAGAAACATTTTTATTCTTTTTAAAGATTTGTTTATTTATTTGAAAGGCAGATTTTTACACAGGAAGAGGCGAGATGGGGAGAGATGTTCCATCTGGTAGGTCACTCCCCAAGCAGGCACAACAGCAAAAGCTGAACCAAGCCAAAGCTAGGAGTCAGGAGACTTGTCCAGGTCTCCCACACAGGTGCAGGGTCGCTAGGCTTTGGGCCGTCCTTGACTGCTTTCCCAGTCATAAGCAGGGAGCTGGATGGGAAGCAGAACAGCTGGGACACAAACCAGAGCCATTAATGGATGCCAGAACTTGTAGATGGAGGATTAGCTTGATATACCACCATGCTGGTCCCAAAAGGAATATTTTAATGGGGCCTAGAATGATGGCATAGCGGGTAAAACTACTACTATGTTGCTGGCATCCCACATGGGCTTCACTTCTGATCCAGCTGCTGGTTAATGGCCTGGGAAAGCAGAAGTCAAGTGCTAGACTTCCTGCACTCACACAGGTGAGTGGGAACAATCTCCTGACTTCGTTTCTGCCTGGCCTGGCCCAGCCCTGGCCACTGCAGCCATTCCGAGAGCCGAGTAACAGATGGACTCTATACCGCCATCTCTGCATCTCCCTCTTTCTTTAGAACTTTGCTTTTCAAACAAAATCTTTTATTTTTAATTTATTTATTTTGGGCCCGGCGTGATAGTGTAATGGTTAAGGTCCTTGCCTTGAATGCTCGGGATCCCATATGGGAGCCAGTTTGTATTCCGGCTGCTCCACTTCCCATCCAGCTCCCTGTGACCTGGGAAAGCAGTAGAGATGGCCCAAAGCCTTGGGACCCTGCAGCCATGTGGGAGACCCGGAAGAAGTTCCTGGTTCCTGGCTTTGGATTGGCACAGCCTTTCCAATTAAATAAATAAATCTTAAAGAAAAAAAAATTTAAAAAGATTTATTCATTTTATTGGAAAGGTAGACATACAGAGAGGAAGATCTTTTGTCTGATGATTCACTCCCCAAGCAGCAGCAACGGCTGATGCTGAGCCGATCCGAAGCCAGGAGCCTCTTCTGGGGTTCCCACAAGGGCGCATGGTCCCAAGGCTTTGGGCCGCCCTCGACTGCTTTCCCAGGCTACAAGCAGGGAGCTGGATGGGAAGCAGGGCCACCAGGATTAGAACCAGTGCTCACATGGATTTCTGGCATGTGCAAGGCAAGGACCTTAACCCCTTTGCTATGGCACCAGGCCCAAATAAAATAAAATCTTTGGAAAAAATAAAAAGGGAGGGGACCATTTTTAAAATTAGAGAGGGCAAATTAAAGTTATCTATGTAAAATCACATGCCAGAAAAATAAAACAAGACAAAAGTAGTGCTGGCTTGGGGTGTGCCAGAACCCCTGAGAGCTGATTCAATCTCAAGTACTGCACTTCTCACCCAGCTTTGTTTTACTGTAGCTGGGAAGGCAGAAGATGGCCTCACTGGGCCTCTGCCACTCACATGGTAGATACAAGTGGAGCTCTGGACTCCTGGCTTTAGCCTGGCCCAGTCTATGGGCATCGCAGTCACCTGGGCAGCTAATGAGCAGATGAAAGATCTCTCAGTTTCTCTTAGCAACTGCCTTTATTTGTTTACTGCATGAGTGCAGAGGCCCAAGTGCCACCTTCTGCTGCTTTCCCAGGCATATCAGCAGGGAGCTGTATCAGAAGCAGAGCAGACCAAACTTGAACTGGGACGCTGGCATTATCTTCTATGCCACAACACCGGCTTCCAAATAAATTATAATAAATAAAAGAAAATTAAGACAATAAGTTTATACATACTTGAAAGCAAGTCCCTCAAAGACTGGTGTTAGGGGAAGCTTAAAAGTCTGGCACAGTGATATGGCAGTGTCAAAGAGGCCAGCCTGAACCAAGAGTGTCACCATTTCCTCTGCTGATGAACTTCCTGTAGACACAGAAAAGGCTATTCAGTGTACTCAGAATAGTGACTTCCCACATTGATGAATATCTCAGAACAACAACGGCATGCTTTAGAAGCACCTAGCACACGAACTCCATCGTCTGGTCCTAAACTGCACTGTGGTACCCACAGCCAGAAGCTACACCTGCTGAATCTCTACCTGCGATGGCAACTGCTGACGGATCGTGCTGAGCCAAAGTCAGGCGGATGCGAGCCAAAGAACACTCCTTCTCCAGGTCTTTTAGTTCAAGGATTTCAATCTGCCGATTTGCTAGAAAGCAAAAAAAAGTAGTTTCAAATCCATGAGGAAGTATCTACACTAGATTAATTCAACCTTTCTTCTTGCTTCTAAAAAAAGGTTAACATTTTATTTATTTGAAAGACAGAGTGACAGAGAGACAGTAAGAGAAAGATCTTCTATTTACTGGTTCATCCCCAAGAAGCAGCAACAGGCAAGGCAGGGACAGATCAAAGCCAGGGGCCCACTGCTGTCTTCTGTGTGGGTGGCAGGAGCCTCCGTGCTTGGGCTACTTCCCTCTGCTTTCCCAGGTGCACCAACAGGGCACTGGATAGGAAATAGAGCTGCTAGACTTGAACCAATGCTTCTACGGAACGTGGTGTCACAGGCAACAGCTACTGGTCCTGTCCTTTTCTTTTAAAGATTAAGTAAGACTTTGCAAAGGCATGGAGAAAAGAAAAAAAGGACTGGAGAAAAGGTAATGTAAGTAGCATCCTGCTTGACCTGTACAGCTGAGTCATAACAAAACACTAATAACACAAGTTACTTTATATCAGTAAGAAAGAAACCTGAAAACAGACAAAAAACAAAAAAGAAAGAAAACAAAACAGATAAGAACCTGCTCAGAATGAAAATCAGGCATGTCCAAACCTAGAGCATCGGCTCTGTGTGAAAGAATCTCAGGTATATGTGGTAACGTAAAAGGAATAGGTCTTTACAAAGTATGGCATCAAGCCAGAAGGCAACAGAAACATTGGTTTTTAAGGACTCTTGTTTCTCATACTTCTGTGCAACACTGTTAAATTTCTTTAACTGATTCCTTTTCCTTTGAGAGACAAAACCTGTAGGAGAACATGCTCCCCCCATGTGCTGATTCACTCTGTTTTACACTTGGGTGGCAGGAATGCGATGACTTGAGCTATCGCCACTGCCCCCTAGGGTCTGCATTAGCAAGCAGCAGGCCCAGGTACCAAACACAGGCATGGCAACACCGAAGTCGGTGTCTGAATGGCTGGACCTCATAACTGCCCAGCAGACATTCCAGAAGGCAGTCACACAGGTTAGAATGTGAAAAATTTTAAAAATTGTAATTTTTTCTTTTACAATGTTAAAGAAAGCTTATTTATTTGGTACATAGCAAAGTAATAATATGCAATGTTAGAGTGTAACTAGTGTTAATTACACGTCACATGGAAAGTCCAGCCAAGGGCCAGTCTGTGACCTCGGCTCACCTGGGGCGGCCGTGCATTCTCCATCATGATTCCTCTTGGGAGATGTTCCCGGGCGATCATACTGATGAGAAAAACCAGTGATTAATGGTGAACATTAGTGCTTTATTTTGCTACCATTTACTTTGATTCACAGCTTTCCTGCTTGAATTCTCAACAGAAATGATTTCTGTTTAAACTGGTACAGTTTGTCTTACAAGATCCTACAACTACCAAAGAAACGGAGTTGTTTGCCAAGCTGACTCACTTAGGAATAAACATGTCACTGAGTCCAAGCACATGGATATACCTGCCAGAGTTGTTCTCTGCTGACAACCTGGGCAAAGACTTAGGAAATGCACGAACTATTTCATGGAAGTAGCTGGGCATATGTGACCAGTGGGCACAAAAGGAAACACTCCTGTTACATGTCCTTTATGACAATGATTACAGTTTAAATTAACCAATACAGCTGAAATCAAAGCAGCTGCCACGTGGAGCGCCTTCTGTAGGCCACCCATTGTTTTTCACTCTAAGCAATCTACTCACACGACAGTAAATTTCATTTACTGTTGTTTAAAGGTAGGAATCATCCCTCTTTTATGCAGGAGGATAAAGGATTAGCAAAATACTAAGAACACATTCATAATGAGATTTGTGTAATTTGTCCAAAATCACTTGTATTACTTTGGTTGGGACAGAGCCTGGATCCAAGAATTCAACTCAGGTCCCCTACCATATGTGGCAGTTCTCAGGGTTTGCCTACGCAGCAGAAGTCAGGAGGCGCCAGAGCCTAGTATGAAACCAGGCACTTGAACACCGGATACAGATGTCTTAGCAGCCAAGCCAAGAGCCCAGGCTGAAATTACAGTTTGAAAGAGGCCAGCCATACGTTTAAATGATCCTTAATTCCAGGATGGAAAGTTCTCATACCACTGCGCCAGACGCTGGCTGCACAATCCATGCGTACTCTGGACGAATCAGTCGTAAACAATTAATGGCAGCCAGGTAGCAGTTGCCTTGCTTCTCGAGTCCCCGAAGAGTTCGAACCTCTCTGCCAAGACGCATTCCGTATTCGAACATCACCGTACCAGCTGTAAGGCAACAGGACATTGGACATCAGGACTTCACAAATATGTTCTCTAGAGATACTCATACCAAATTTTAAACCATCTTTGTAAAGATTTATTTATTTGAAAGCCAGAGCACCAAACAAGGAGGAAGGAAGAGAGATTTTTCCATCTGCTGTCTGACTCTCCCAAATGGTCCCGACAGCTAGGTCTGGGCAGGCTGAAGCCAGAAGCTTCATCCGGGTCCCCCACCTGGGTGGCTGGGTTCCACTGCCTTCTTTGGTGTGTTATCAGGCAGCAAAGAAACGAAGCAGCCAGGACTCCAACCTGCACTTTGACAGGGGATGCTGGGGTCAGGAAAATTGTAGTTTAACCTGCTATGCCATAAAGGCCACCCTCAACAGTAAAATTTGAAAAAACAAAAAAATCATGTATTGAAAAGGATGTGAAGAGACGGGAACCCTGTGCACTAGTATTGGGAATGTAAAATGGTCCCACAGCTATAGTAAACAGATGACCCAGTAATTCTTCTATTTATTGATTTCCAAAAGAAAGGAAAGCACGATCTTGAAGAGATATTTGTATAATCATATACATACAGAACAGCATTACAACAGTCAAAACTCAGAAGCCTTCATTGTCCGCCAATGGACAGAAAACAAAATGTGGTACAGATAAAGTGGAATATTACTCAGCCATAAGGAAGGGAAAAACACGCATGGGAATGAAATGCAGCATAGAATTGAGGGCTGTGGTGCCCGGCTCAGCGGTTAAGACGCAGCTCCCTGTTCTCCCCAACCCCAGGCCGTGGCCACTATTTTACTTCCTCCTATATGGATTTGCTTGCTAGAATCATGTAGTATTTGTCTTTTCTCACTGCTTGTTTCACTTTATGTAATGTGAAAGTTCAACCAGTGGATGGAAGATCTCTGTTTCTCCTTCTCTAATTCTGCCTTTCTAATAAAAATGAATAAATCTTAAAAAAAAAAAAACCAAAAACAAAATAAAACAAAAAGGAAAGAAAAGCAGCATCAGCACAGCCTTGTTCCAAAAAAGCTAGAACTCCACAAACATTGTTAAACTGGTCCTAACAAAGCTGATACAATTGATGATAATTGTATGAGCCAACAATGAGAAGCTTCTCTACATTTACCATCTTGCAGGAGTCCAGAAAACAAAGAACAAGAAAGCATGTTTTCCTACTTAGGAACATAAGAATGTGGCTACAAATGAACTCTATCCAGGGGCCACGTGGAGTAATAGGGAAGTCTGTTGTTTCCAACGCTAACATCCCACCCACAGCACAGGTTTGTGTCCCGGACTGCCCCGTTTTTGGTCTAGTTCCTTGCTAACAGCCTGGGAGAAGCGGTGGGAAATGTCCCTGTGCCAGCCCAGCTGTGGGGCCTGGCTCTGGCCTGTCGGTGCGGTGGCCCGCTGGGGGGGCGGTCAATCAGCTGATGGAGGTCTTGTCTCTTTGCTTTGTGTGCTTCTCCTCCTCTCTGACTTTCAAATTAATAAATAAATGTTTAATATTCAGCAGTCATGATGCTCTTACAAATTACTTGAAAGAAAAAACTTTCTCCACTTTCCCCATAAAAACTAGCAAGAAATTGAATGAAAAATACTGGGTAAAAATGTCTTCCCCTTTGTTGCTTTTTCAAATCAGTAAACAGAATAAATTCTAAAAAATAAACAGAAGAATTAAATGTGCCATGCATGAACCCAGATCGCAGTAAAGGCAATACGGAGAAGTGTGCTATAAAAAATCATGACGACTGGCACAATCCCGATATAAGCAGTACATTAAGTAATAGCATGTTATTTACATTTTAATTTAGTAAATGAATTAGACATTTTCTTAATCTGACCACTATATGAAAATAATATCAAGAGGAGATGTCTGAAACATTTTTGTTATATTTGCAATTTACTCTCAAAAGATCAGTGAAGATATGTCAATAAAATAAAAGATAATGAGAAGGAGGAATGAAACAGTAGTAAGGAGAAATTAAAATTAGGCTAAGGATACAATATAGTTATATGTTCAGAGAATAGACTTTTCAGTTAAGAAGTTTACAAAGGGAGTCAGCACTGTGATGTGATGGGTGAAGCCTGCACTGCCAGCTTCCCGTTTAGGCACCACTTTGTGTCCTGGCTGCTCCTCTTCCAATCCAGCTTCTTGCTAACGGCCTACAACAGGCAACAGAAGATGGCCCAGTGTTTTGGCCCCTGCCACTCCCAATTCATGTGAGAGACCAGCTGAAGCTCTGGCTCGACTTCAGCCTGGTCCAGTGCTGGCCACCAGACATCTGGGGATGTCAAACAGTGGATGGAAGATCTCTCTACTCACCTATCTCTCTGGAATTCTTTCAAAATAACTAAATCCTGAAAAAAGTTCTCTAGGATATCATTTGATAACTATAAAATGTCCAATCTACACCTCTTATTAAGCATTTTGCACAAAATTGAAGGAAGATTCAAGCTAGCTTATGAGGAACACCATCTATCATATCCAGATGACATAAGCACATTTAAGTGCAGTGCTGCAAGAGTTGAAAAAAGCAAGAGTGTCAAATGCAGGCCCAGCACAATGGTGCAGTGGTTAAGGTCCTCGCCTTGCACGCCCAGGATCCCATATGAGCGCCAATTCTAATCCCAGCGGCCCACTTCCCATCTAGCTCCCTGCCTGTGGCCCGAGAAAGCAGTCGAGGACGGCCCAAGGCTTTGGGACCCTGCACCCATGTGGGAGACCGGGAGGAAGTTCCTGGCTTTGGATTGGCATAGCATCAGCCGTTGCGCTCACTTGGGGAGTGAATCATCAGATGGAAGATCTTCCTCTCTGTCTCTCCTCTCTGTATATTCGCCTTTCCAATAAAAAAATTAAGAGTGTCAAATGCAAAATGGCATAGAAATTGAAAATCATTTATGAGAATTCAAAAAGTGGACCTGGTGCAGTAACCCTGTGGATAAAGTCCTCGCCTTGCATGTGACAGGATCCTATATGGGCACCAGTTCACATCCCGGCCACTCAACTTCCCATTCAGCTCCTTGCTTGTGGCCTGGGAAAGCAGTTGAGGACGGCCAGAGGCTCTGGGGCCCTGTAACCATGTGGGGGACCTGGAAGCTGCTCCTGGATCCAGGCTCCTGATCGACTCAGCTCTAGCCATTGTAGCTGCTTGGGGAGTAAATCAGAGGATGGAAGAGGTTTCTCCCTGTACCTTCTTCTCTTTAAATGAACAGAAGACACCCAGAATAAATTCCCTGGAAATGCCTTGGGACTGTTCCATAATGGGAGTAAGTACACATATTTGAAGGCTTATAGGTAAATTTTTAGAAAGGTGAAACTAATTAAACTAATTTTGTTTTCAGACACAATAAAAAAAAATCACGTAAGACAAATGCACAATATTTTTGTAGTCTGCAAGTTCACCAGCTTGCCTCCAGCCGAGACAGGCCCATGGCTCACCCTTGCGGTAGTTGTGCCGGTAGATGTGAAAGGCGTAGAGAAGCTCATAGTAGTTGTGAGTCATGAGGTCCACTGCTCTCGCGCGGGATTCAATGATTCCCACGACCTAAAGGAGAAGCAAGCAGGTGGCAGATAGTAGCCAGCACAGCGACCACCAGAGTTGTCCTGAGCATCAGTGGGTAAATAAAATTACCTCGTTATGCAGATTGACATAGGGAAACTCCACAAGGTCCTGCAGCTGCGAGCGCTCACAAAGAACCACCACCAGCTGTCGCAAACAATCTAACTGCCTGGAAGTAAAGAAAGGAGATGCCGGGTAAGCCATCTTGGCATGTGAAGAGAGACCGCCACATTGCCTTCCCTCCACGAGGACTGGGACATTACCTGCTGGCATCAGGAATCTGGGTTAAGGCCTCATATGCTTGGCTGTTGTGACCCAAATCCAAATGATGCTTGAAAATGCATGTCCTTAAGGTGGCCTACACGTCAGATTTATATCAAATGTAAAAAAGCGCAACTGAGAGTAAAATCCACATCCACAACAAATATCAACTAAAACACTAAATCACAGTTGGTTCTTACTTGACTTTTCCAGTCATCACCTGCTTCAGTTATTGCTGATGTGGCCAACTGAATAACCAGCTCAGGCAAACCAATGACATCTAGTAGACGTAAAACCTAAGAGCAAACAAGAAAAAATCCATCAAAATTAATGATAGTAATGTCAAAAACTGAATTATGTTTGTTTTTGAAAGATTTATTTTTTTTGAAAGCCAGATTTTTGCATCTGGCATGGTAGCCTAGTGGTCAAAAACCTCACTTCCATGTCCTGGGATCCTATATGGGAACCAGTTTGTGTCCCGGCTACTCCACTTAACACCCAGTTTTCTGTTTATGGCTTGGGAAAGCAGTCAGAAATGGGCCAAAGCCTTTGAACCATGCACGCACGTGGGAGACTGGAAGAAACTCTTCACTCCTGGCTTCAGATCAGCTCAGCTCTGGTTGTTGTGGCCACTTGGGAAGTGAGCCAGCAGATGGAAGACCTTTTTCCTCTATCTCTCCTCTTCGTATATATGGGTCTTTGCATGCCCTCTGCACTTGAAAATGCAGAGGAACTTGGTCAAGGTCACACAGTGGGCAGATCTGGGATTTAATTTTAGCCTCTGGTCTCTGGCGCCTACCAGTCTATGGTTCCAGTCACTCTCATACCAAGGCAAACATTTCCTATTGTATTCTTGTGATCTGCTGTAGTCTTAAAAAACAAAAATAGAGCCAGAACTTCATAGTATGATTTTTTGTGTGTGCATTTGCTTGCTCTTGTTTGTAAAACCGGTCTGTTTTATTACATGCAGTATTCCTTTCATTGCTGTGGTGTTATTTATTTATTTATTTTCTCAACAGAGAGCAAATTTTTCATCTGTTGGTTCACCCCGCAAAAGGCTACAACAAGCCCAGAACTCCATTTGGGTTTCACAAACAGGTAGCAGAAGCCCAAGCACTTGGGCCAGTCTCTGCTGCTTTCCAGAATATCAGCAGGGAGCTGGAAGTAGAACGGTGAGGACTTGAATTGGCATTCTGATACAGGCTGTTGGCATCTCAATCAGATGTTGTACCTGCTGCACAACACTGGCCCCTGTCTGCTGCTGCTGGGCTTCACTATTTTGAAAAAAATAGACAATTCATGGATCCATTCTGTGAGTGGATGCTAGGGGTGTTTCAACTACACAATCTTATGAATATGCTCCTTGGAACATAATTATATGTATCTTTTGTAAGCATGTACATCTTTAGGAATATATTTAGAATAGAAATGACTGAAAATAATGATAGTTTTCCAAAGTGATTTTCGACAAACATACACTTCACCATGGATGATTTCAATGCTTAACACCTTATTTTCATAGTTTCATACTATCCTGAATTGATATTTCACACTCAAGGTTCATTAAATGGCTTTCCTGACAAATTCAATTGTGACTTACCTTACCTTCCCCCCTCTTTTTAAAAGATTTTTACTTGAAAGACAGATTTACAGAGAGGAGAGCTATAGAGAGTGGGTTTTCCATATCCCGGTTCACTCCCCAAATGGCTGCAATAGCAGGAGCTGAGCTGATCCGAACCAAGGAGCTAGGAGCTTCTTCTGGGTCTTTCATGAAGGTGCAAGATCCCATGCACCTGGGCTCTCCCAGGTTATAAGCAGGGAGCTGGACTGGAAGTGGAGCAGCAGCCGGTACATAAACCAGCACCCCTAGGAGAGGCTGGCAGCACAGGGAGGTCGATTAGGCCACCATGCTGGCCTCTATGTGTCCCTTCCATTCAGATCTTATTAGTGCCACCGTTTTTACCTTACAAAGTGGCTGATGAAGAAACTCAACAAGAGGTAGAGTACACTTTCCTCATTTGCTTCTACTTTCAGTCAGTATTTCTTCAACTTGCTTTATTGTGAGAATCGTTGATGGTCATATGGTGAAATTGAGTTTCATCAAATTAAGCAATAATATGCAAACCCAATCAGTCAGGATTTTCTAAGTGGAATTGAATGGGTCATTACCCACCTGTAACCCTAATTGTGTGGCCCGCATTCTGGCCTAGTGAATGGCTACCAGGCTGAAGGCTCCAGTGAAGAGCACTTGAGGCCATCCTATATCACTACATCTTAGTTCTTCTTTCAGTGGGTGAGGTCTAACATCTTTCATCCCCACCTCGGGGTCCAGACTAGTTCTTACAAGTTTCTGTGAGTGAGTTCCTTCTAATGGGAGCTGTAAAGGCGTCACAAACGAAAAAAAACCCAACCAATCAACCAACCAAACATTTGGCTGCTATTTCAAACGGCCATTTATAGATTCTTCAAATCCATCTGATCTGTTTAAACTATCCAAACATAAACTAAAAAAATTCTAGTAAAATATCATGATAAGAATTCTACTAAAGTAAAAAATAAAATTTAGCCAAATACAATTTCCCCCCCAATTTTCTAGGTAGACTCATCTTCTTCTTTTATTTGGAAGTTGAAGAAGACATAACATTTTTATACTATTTTTCTCCAAAAACAGCAAAGCAGTGCACCTCATATGCATTTTGACACAGGGTAGTTTAGGAAGAGCCAAGCCATGACATAAGGTACCTTGTCGTAATACTGTAGCTTGGGAGTGGACACTGTCTCCCTATCCTCAGAGCGAATCAAGCGATCCAAGAATTCTTCCTTGCCTACTTCAGATGCGGCCTGACAGAAACATTCCAGTGCCTGAAAGAAATAAAGAATACCACGTGACTTCTAATAGATAACTCCGCGGCAAAGAGCTGAGAAACTGTGCTAATAAGAAGCTACAAAAGGAGAAAAGAATTTTAAAGCAGCTACAGTCACAATTTCTCCCCTATTTAAGTTCTAATTTTATTCCATCTACCTTGCAAGCCCACCATCCTTTTAATTTAGCCACTTCTTAAAACTAAACAAGCAAGGTGGCTAATGGATAGACAGGTGTATAAGAAACCAAGTGTAGTAACACACTAACCAATGTAGAATTTGAGTGGTGGGTGGTGACAGCTTACTGTATAAATGTTGGGGATGGGGCAGAGTTGTGTCACAGAGGTTTAGGTTGCCTCTTGAGACACTGGAATCCCATAGTGAGAGTTGGTTTGAGTTCAGGATACACTGTATCTGATCCAGCTTCCTGCTGATGTGATGGATGGCCCAAATAATTGGACTTCTGCCATCAATGCAAGAAACCAGAATAGAGTTAAAGCTCCTGGTTTTGGCCTGGCACCAACCTGGCTGCTGTGACCACTTGGAATGAACCTCAAGATAGAACCCCCTCTGTTGCTCTTTCAAATAGATAAATCCTATATTTTTATACTTTTGTTACAAAGATATTTACCTGAAAGGTACAGTTACAAAGGAGAGACAGACAGAGATAAATTCCATCCATTGGTTCACCATCCAAATGATTGCTGCTGGTGGAGCCTTTCCTGGGTCTCCTCTTTGGGTGTGGAGGCTCCAGCACTTGGGCTGTACTTTGTTGCTGTTCCAGGTGCATTAACAAAGAACTGGAACAGTTGTGACTTGAACTGAATATTTGTCCGAATATGGGATGCTAGTATTGCCAAGGGGAGATTTCATTCGCTTTGCCATAGCAATGGCCACTCAAATAAATCTTAAAAAGCATCATGAAACTAAAATAATAAATATAAATGAAACTACTGTGATTAGTAAATAAATTCAATTTGTAATAAGCAGCTCTAAAAACACCTGAACAAGAGCAGGACAGTTTTAATGTTTTCATTTTCCTGTGTCCTACCTAAGGAATGGGGAGCTAAACAGACGTCATAGGTGTATTATGATATCATACAATCATTTGCACTAATGCAGTCATGTCTCCCAGTCTAAGGGCCTCACTGAACTAAGAGCTATCCATCATTCCAATAATTTACCTTCTGTCCTTCTCCTGTAACAAGGTAACACCGTCCCAGCATAAATCGACAGGAACCAACATTGACTTGACACCAGGGATGCAGCAGTTGAATATAATCCTTAAAAAGGCACAGAAAGTAATTTCTGGTTATAAAATAAGTACTTTTTAAGGGGATACTCATTTCCAAGTTCTTTCAAGATGGGGTGAAGGCAGCTTTCAATGAATGTCAAAGTTTAATGGTCTGAAATAATTTCCAGATAAGAAGTTATCCTACTAATATATCCTTATTTTGGATTAGAAATCTTCAATATTCAACAACACACATCCTAGCTTACCATCTCATTAACTACCCAGTTTCATTTATTTACCAATTTACTGACTAGATTCCAAAATGGATTTCTATGAAGACAAGGGTATTATTATAAAGAAAAACAGAATTGCAAAAGAGATATATTCCAGAAAAAATTATGCTAGAAATGATATGATCAAGAAAGTAATAAAGAAAATCTTGGGTGATGACTTGGTGCAGCCAAATTTAAATTATGGTTTTAATTTTCAGCCCCATTAAAATGTAGTTAACATTACAAACAAAAGACATTCCTGCAATCTTTATATTCCTAAGAGTGATTAAACCTGTTATGTTCAACAGAACTCACCTGCAACTGTATATACTGACAGTTTCCCATCAGGCATTCTAGAAAGAGACAACCGGGATTGCTTGGCCATCTAGTTATATTTGTTAAGGAGATTTCTTAGTTTTGGCAAAACCTAAATATAAATATTGAGCATCACGCTTAGAAGTCTATGAGATAGATTAAAAAACAAACACAAAGTGACCAAGAATTTGTTCTTTCTACATCACATATATTTGTCTTTATATCTAACATATTTGTCTGAATATTAGACACACACAATAATCAGATAATATGAGGGGGTGGCGAAGTGAAGCTCCCAGGCGGAATCCCATACGAGCACCCACTCAAGCATCAAATGCTCCACTTCCAATTTAGCTCCCTGGGAAAGCAGCAGAAGACAGCCCAGGTTCTCGGGTTCCTGCCACCCTTGGGAGACCCAGATGAAGCTCATTGCTTTGTTGCTGTGGCCTGACTCAGCCCTGCCTGTTGTCTTTTGGGAGTAAACTAGCAGATGAAGGTTTCTACCTCTGCCTTTCTTGTTCTATAACTCTACCTTTCAAATAACCAAATATTTTTAGGGGAAACAAGAAGAAAAAACGAAAACCAAGATAAAGTGTGTATCTCAGTGCCTGTTTCAAGCCTGGGATCCTCTCCTGCTAGCAAGCACACTGGAAGGTGTTTTTAAGGAGTGAACTGGTACATAAAAGATGTGTCCTCTCTGCCTTTGAAATAAGATGAAAAAGAAGAAAAAATCCTCATTACCCAGGCAGAATAAGAGTCAGCCCATGTGGATTCTTTCCAATGCCTTTCAAGAAAAGGATACAAAAGCTGCAGTAAGTAACCGGTGATGGCAGCTATCATCTGAGGCCAGTTCAATCCGGTTTGGCCCAGAGGTGCCTTTGGCTGAGAGAAGAGATGAGAGATAATGTGCTTTCTTGCAACTTCTTGGAAGAATAACTCCACAACTGTCTGAGGGCTAGACACTTCAAAAGAAAAGGTCACGACAATAACAAGCTTGTGATAGCAACATCAACTTTAGTCTGGACTACGAATTCATTCTATGCCTGCCACAGAGAACATTTATCATGTCAAAATAACAAAGGCTCACAGATCAAGTCACTAGTGATATAAATCAAAGCAGCTTATAAACTGAAGTTCTATGCAAACACAACAAAAAAAGCACTGCAATCAATACTGCACCCATCTTACTGATCTCATTATGCTTATACACCTTCCACAGGAATTGTACAATAAAGTTCTAAGATTACAAATTCGATATCAAAACAACACAGAATTCTGTAGACTATTTTAAGCATAAGGCACGGCTCCTTTTAAATATTCTATGTCCCAGACAAGTTCATAAAAAATACCACGAACTTAGTAAACTTTTTAAACAATGTTGCTGAATTCATCTCAGGTGCATGGCAACAGTGGGAAAGCAGCAGGTCCTCTATGGTAGCATGCACACCCTGACCAGACATCTGACCTGGAACTGCAGTGTCAGACCCCATGCAACGGCCCCAGAAAGTGAAGCCAGGAATCTAGCCAACCTTTTCACAGCATGGGAAGCCAAAGACCACTTCAGTGACTGTATAGTAAGCCCCACTTTAAAATCAACATGCACACAGTCCACTACTTACCAAATTTATTTGCCACTAAAGTACCAGAGTCAGTCAGTTCCAGCACTGACAAGTGTTGAAGATTTGATTCCCTGTGAAAAAAGGCAGAGTTTTACAAATTCTTCCATGGCAAACATGAGGTCAGCTCCATGAACTACTGACTGCACTGCAAGCATGAGGGCAACCCAAGAATATCCTGAGCGCTCTGTCACCCAAGACCCCTCCGGCTGTTTATGAGAGGCCACAGCCCACACGGGGTTTATCTGCTGATCAAGTGGATCTTGAAATTCCCGAATTTTCTTCACTTTCTTTCTAGCTTCATCTTACGATTTTGTCTTCAATACAGTTTATCTGTACATTGCAAACACACATTTTATTATTTATCCTCCAAAATAAAGGGTACTTCAAAACATTTGTGGGAAAAAAATTACAACACAAATTTATTTTGATGTAAAGAATTTTGAAGTACAGGGTAATTAAGCATTGGCACAGCAGTTAGGATGCCACTTTGGGGATGGGGTGGGTGAGCGGCACTTGGTGGTTACATGTTACGGTGCTGCCTGCAATGTCTGCATTTCACATCAAAGTGCTGGTTTGAAAGACCTTTCTGCTAATGCACCTAGGAAGGTGGCTAGAAGTTGTCCTAATTCCTTGGGCCCCTGCCACCCATGTGTGAGCTCAGGGTGGAGCTCTTGGCTGCAGCCAAGCCCAGACATAGGTGTTGAGACTACGCGGAGTGAACCAGCAGCTGGAAAATGTCTCTTCAGTTCTACCTCTCCAAAAAAATCTTAAAAGTAGCCAAATAAAAAATGTTTAATATTTTGGAAGCCATGAATACACCAGGGTCCTCTAAAACTTCATGGAACATACAAATTTATGAAAAAACTAAAGACTGAATTGGCCTCAAATGATACTTTGCAGCAGCATAAACATCTTTTAATTCTGTTTTCCCATAAACTTTCTAAGATACCCTCATTTATGCAACAGATTCTATTTTCACTCTTATATGCTACCTTAAACCTTTAGAAAACATAACACATAAAAGATTTCAATATCTTAAAGGCAAAGTCATTTTACAGCTTACATCTAAAAAACTGCTGTTCAGAAAATAGAAAAAAAAAGTACTATTTTAAAAACCATGAGGATAACAAAACTTACAGTGTGTCAACTGGAACATCAGTTGCCAAGGACTGACTATTCCACTTAATGAGGTAATAACATAAGAGCAGCGGGGCTGTCCGATGCAGCAGGTCTTGCTGAGCCTGAAAGAGCTGACCAGCTCCCAGAACCACCTGTTCATGATGGGGTAAGAACAGAATTAGTAATGGTAGGGTTCTCTTATTTTATTCTTTAATTTAATTCAATTATTTTATTTTATTATACTTATGGTAACAAGTAACAAAACAGATTCCCTAATCGTAACAGTTGTGCGGGTGGGGAAACACACAGCTCATCAAGTTAGAGGGGCTGAAAATGGAGAAAAGAATAAAAAGCTTATGGCATACGGGCACAGTGAGATAAACTGTGGGCATTATGGTATAGTGAGCTACTTTAAGTTCCTAACTTTCTTAGCTTTTGAAAAATAATTTTTATTTTTAATATTTTTGGTATTATTAGCATTAGTTGAGAGGGATGTGCGTCTCTGTGGCCTCCATTTAGGGTGGGGTACAGAGCAAGGTGAGTGGGAGGAATCTTTCAGTTGGTATTACTTTTCCCCATCTTCTCTGTCCACTGCGGCGAGAGGAAGGGGCCCAGCACCTAGGGACAGAGAATGGTCACCTGATGACGCCTTAGAGACTCTCATGCGGGGAAGAATGCTCCAAGAGCGCTGCTTGAGTGTCCCAACTTTTTTTTAAAATATGCGGCTTCCTTGGGCCCAGCCGGATAACAGAGTGGTTAAAGTCCTCACCTTGAACTAGCTGGGATCCCATATGGGTGCCGGTTCTAATCCCGGCAGCCCCGCTTCCCATCCAGCTCTCTGCCTGTGGCCTGGGAAAACAGTCGAGGACGGCCCAAAACTTTGGGACCCTGCACCTGCGTGGGAGACCTGGAAGAAGCTCCTGGCTCCTGACTTTGGAATGGCTCAGCTCCAGCCACGGCGGCCACTAGGGGAGTGAACTATTGGACACACGGAAGATCTTCTCTGCCTCTCCTCCTCTCCAATAAAAATAATCTTAAAAAAAAAAAAAGCGGCTTCCTTGCCAGCTTGTCCCACTTGAATGAGATCACAGACCCAGGACTACTGCATAGGGCAGAAAGGCAACAGCTGGCAGGGAACAGTCAGTGACATGGGCTATAATGAATACAAGATGGTGTAAGAGTCTGGTGGCATAGGAAGATGACTGGAAAGTAGGAATGGAATGGAGTAGGAAGGCCAAAAAAATAAACTCTGCAACCTCACAACTGTGTTTTAGGGTGACTTCTTTGCCTTCCTCTTCCTCTTCCCCATCGACTAAATACTAAACATTCCCAAAAGACAGTGTGGGAACACTCTCCTCCAGAACATATACAAAGGCTACCAGTAAAGCAATCTGCCTCCCATGTTCTGAATCTGTAATCTCTGATTCACTCATTCTTTTTTTTTTTTTTAAAGATTTATTTTTATTATTTTTTCATTGGAAAGGCAGATATACAGAGAGGAGAGACAGAGAGGAAGATCTTCCGTCCGATGATTCACTCCCCAAGTGAGCGCAACGGGCTGATACTATGCCGATCCGAAGCCAGGAGCCTCTTCCGGGTCTCCCACGCGGGTGCAGGGTCCCAAAGCTTTGGGCCGTCCTCGACTGCTTTCCCAGGCCACAGGCAGGGAGCTGGAAGGGAAGCAGGGCTGCCGGGATTAGAACCGGCGCCCATATGGGATCCCGGGCGTGCAAGGCGAGGACCTTTAACCACTTGCGCCACCGCGCCGGGCCCGATTCACTCATTCTTAATTCAACACTCAGTTACAGAGCATCTAAGTAGGCCAAGCAAGAGGGCTAAAGTAGTGTACAAAGACAAGTCTGGGCTCAGATAGAAGAAATTCTGCAGCCGTGTACCCAGAGCTCTGTGCCAGGTTTCCCCTCGAGCAGTACTCACCGAATCGCCCAGCCTCAGCAGGAGCTGCTGCAGGATCAACAGGTCGCGGCAGATGAGGAAGCGAATACTGGCGATTTTGAACACAGCTCTGCACATGATGTAACTTGCTGTGTTGCTCCCATAGAGCTGGGAAAGGTTCATTCGAACATTCAAAGGCTGAGCTGAAATAAAAAGGGAAACAGTTAATTATGTCACTGCTTTCTCTAAACCAAAGTGTCCCATTGGTTGTTTTGCCATTTACCTGGATCAAATCCCTTTTCCATTTCCACATCTGTCTCATAATCCATTTCCCGTATGAGAACGCCGATGGCCTGGATCGGGTTCCGAATCTCTTGTAGTTTACTATAAATATCCTCCAACACATTTTCCCTGCAGGGGAAATCAGAAAACTCGTATTAGCACTGAGAATACACATGTCAGCTTCCGACCGTCCTGCATACGAAATGCTCCATAGAACAGGAAAATCAGCCGGACCACGACAGAGTGGAGACAACTGCTCCAGTATTTCAGGATACTGTGACTCCACACGGCAGTGTCCTATAAATGACAAGCAGCATGATGGTGACGAAGATACCTGTCCTTTTCAGAATCAATCATTAATAGCTATATCACAGCTTAGGAGTTGGCATATATTAATTTCTGTCTGGATCTGGCATTGTGGCACACAAGGTAAAGCCTCTGCCTGTGATGCCCAGGTCATGTCCTAGCTGCTCCACTTTTGATCCAGGCATCTGTGCATGGCATGCGAAGGCAGAAGATGGCCTATGTGGCTGGGATACCTCTCAAGTCGGGAGACCTGGATGAAGCTCCTGGCTCCTGGCTTTAGCCTGGCCCAACTCTGGGCACTGTAGCTATTTGGGGAGTGAGTCAGCAAATGGAAGATACCAGCTCCTGGTCCCCTGATAACTCAAACAAACCACCACCACCACCACCACCACCACCACCACCAACAACAACAACAAAAAAAAAAAAAAAGAGAGAGAGAACCCTCTTAAAAATTTTCTCCCCTAACGCTTGGAAATATCTATGTAGAACCATAGCAATCAATTTTAATTTTGAGTCATCCTTTTGAACACCCTTTCACTACTGAATTTGCATCAGGAAAAGCACTTTACCCTAAATTCTCCTTACACATCAATAGTGATCAAATCTTCCAGAATCTGTTCTGCAGCCTTTTCTGGAGACTGTAGATTGTAGCAACTCATTTCCATCATAACCGACATGTCCAAATTGACCGATTCACCTATCAGCCGAAGGCATTTTATGAGACAGATAACGTCTCGAGCAACATCCACATCTGAGGAAGAGAAAAGGTAACACTGCAGTCCCAAGTCCACGGTGATCCGATTCATATTATATCAAATGCTAATAATTAAACATAAAAAAATCTGATGCTTTTGGGATACTGAGGCACCTTCAGTCTCCCTTGAAATATTGACAATGTGGTCAAATGACCAACGGGAACCAATGCCTTTTGTGTGCACCTGTAGGAGGGGCGTGAACATGGAAATGATTACCCTCAGATATGCTTGACTCATCCTCTGTCAGCAGGTTCTCCTCAGGCAGCAGGTACAAATGATCCACGAGCGATGAGGGCATAAGGAAGGACAGGTACCCCTGGGAATGGAGATCCTCTGGTTACTTTCTTAGCAGTGAATTTTTAAAGGCATAAAATAATTGTGATGTGAGCTTTATCATGAGGTAACAACAGACACACCCAGGCTGATGGACATTATTTTATAAAACTACCTGTGTGGTCTTCTGAAAAACACCAGTTCCATGAAAGATAAAGAAATGCTGATAACAGTTCAAGATTAAGTTAATCAAGACAACTAAATACATGTATTTAGAAAACATGTATCAGAATCCATCTCCGCAAGACATACATAACGCTTTCATCTCATCTTAAGTTATAATAAAATTAAGGTCAGGAACAAATTATGGGCACAACTAGCAAAATCTGGATGTCAACTGTGTCATACTAAATTGCTCAAGCCTGAAATTGTCCTGTGGTTATTAAGGAGAATAACCACGCTTTTTAAGACATGCTGAAAAATTTTAAGGATAAAAGGGCATGATGTGTACAATTTATTCTAAATGGCCCTGGGAGAAAAACATGCATTTTTCAGAAAGAACAACAACCGGAAATTAAATGACACACCCTTGATGAAAGGTTTATAGAAATTTCAATGCTATTCTTTCAATTGTATAATCTGATTTACCTCACTAATACAATGAATAAATAAAATCAAATGTAGAAAAGCACAGGTCAGGGTGGGCAACTGGCCTGGCCATTAAGAGACCCTCGGTGAAGTCGGCTTTGTGGCACAGTGGGTTAGTGGGTTGACACTTGTGACAGGAATCCTGGCAACTCTGCTTCTGTTCTAATTTTCTGCTGAAAAAATTCTTGGGGCGCTGCCATCCACGTGGGAGACCAGGAGGGAATTCTCAGTTTCTGGCTGTGGCCTAATAAATACATTTTTTTTTTTTGGTAAAGAGATCCTGCTCAGCAGAAATACTCTATTGCAGTGCCTAGATTTGAGGTCCAGCGTTGCTTTTGCCTCCAGCTCCTCCCTGATGCCCACTGTGGGAGGCAGCAGGTGATGGCTCAGTGCTTGGGCTCCTGCAGTGAGAGCTGCTTGAGTCCCTGTTCCTGGCTTCACACTTGCCCAGCCTCAAGTACCCTGGGCATTTGGGAAGTGACTCAGCCGATGGGAGCTCTCTTTACCTCTCTGACTAGCACACCCAGAGAACGGTGGACCGGCTCTTAGGGAGCCTGCCGCAGCCTCTGGCAGCCTTACCTTTTTCAGCAGGCACACCATGTTCGTGTGGGGATTCAGATGCAGAGCGAGAGGGTGAGAGAGGGCCTCTTGATACTGAAGACAACAGGCATAGAACTTGCACCAGAATTCCTGCTGCAGATTTCGGAACTCCTCCCGGGAGAGCTCGTACTCTGTTATACTTCCATGGAGCTGGCAAAGAAGAAAACAAACCCAATTCTTGCTGCCACTCAGAACCTATCTCCGCAAGACATACATAATGCTTTAATCTCATCTTGTTATAATCAAATGAATATCTTACGCATTACATGATGCAGACTAATCTAATATATGCCTAATTCTCTAATTAATGGGTTTATACATTTCTATTTCCTATTAAGAAACTCAGGTGAAGAATTGTAACAACTTCTTAGTGTCAATATGACTTATAATTCAGAAGGAAGAAGTTGGGGGTCAGCACGGTGGCACAGCACAATAATCTTCCCCTTGTAATATCGACACCCCATATGGGCACTAGTTCAAGTCTCAGCTGTTCCACCTCCCAATCCAGCTCTCTATGGCTTGACCAAGTCAGGGGAGACCAGGAAGAAGTTCCTGACTCCTGGCTTTGGACCAGCTCAGCTATGGTTGCTGCAGTCTCTCTTACAATTCTTTCAAGTTAAACAAATACTTTAAAAATAAACAAAGAAAAAAGGAAAAAGGCATCATTCTCTTCCTACCCCAAACTCACCTCAGCCTCAACAGCTAGAGTAACTTCTTTCTTTAGCTCATTCCAGGAGAAATCCATATTTTTTTCCGTTCCTTTGCAGAAAATCTAAAGGAGATATTTGACAATATTATACACAACTGAAAACCAAATGCAAAATATTTCAACTTAGACATCCTGGGACAGGTACAAAGGAAACTAGAATAGTGATGGGGCAGTTCACTCCGCTGGTGATGAATCTCCGAAGCCACGTCATCCTAAACTTTTACCAGTGATAACAGAAACTTGGGGACCAATGTTGTGGCTCAGTGCGTTAAACACTACTTGCTGTGCCAGCATCCTACAGGGTGCCAGCTCAGTTCCTGAATGGTGCACTTCTGATCCACTTCCCTGCTAATGTGCCTGGAAAAGTGATGAAAGATGGCCCAAATCTCTGGGCCCTATACCATGTAAGAGACCTAGATGAAGCTCTCGGCTTCTGGCTTCAGCCAGGCACAATCCTGGTAGATGGGGCTGGCCATTTGGGGAGTGAAAAAACAGACGCAAGAACTCTTTGTATCTATCTTTGTCTCTTCTAACTCTGCCCGTCCAGAGAGCGGTAAAACAGAGAGGGAAAGATCTTCCATCTGCTACCTCACTCCCAATATGGCTGTAATGGCCGGAGCTGAGGTGATCTGAAGCTAGGAGCTTCTTTCAGGTCTCTTATGTGGGGGTGGCCCCAACAATATGAGCTATCCTCTGCTGCTTTCCGAAGCCGTAAGCAGATAGTTGCATAAAAAGTGGAGCACCCGGGACACAAATTGGTAACCGTTTGGGATGTCAGCACTAACAGATAAAGGGTTAATCGCCATGTCAGCCCCAAGAAATAAATCTTTAAAACAAATAAACAAACCAGAATATGCAATGGGCAGACATTAAAGAAAAGTCAGAGTCTGGAAACTGTATTATCCAAGATAAAGCTAAGAAATTGGGTTATTTGGTCTAGAGAAGGATGACACAGAGATACATAAAGGGTTGCTTTACAGAAAACAGATAAGTTTTCTATTAAGATCTAAAAGAAAATAGTCAGGGCTGGGTGTCGTGGCTCAGGGCTTTAAGCTGATGCTCGTAATGCTAGTATGGTCTATCAGAGCATCAGTTCTAGGCTCAGCTGCTCTGCTTCACATCCAGCTCCTCCATGTTAAGGCACTGGAAGGCAATGGAACATAGTCCAAAGGCCTGCCTCCAAGGTGGGAGCCCCAGCTGGAGGTCTTGGCCCCTAGGTGCCATTCCTGTTGGTGCCAGCATTTAAGGAGTCAACCACAGGATGTAAGGTATGTCTCTCCCTTTCTGTAATTCAGCTTTTCAAATAAAAGATGCATTTGTTTATTCATTCGAGAGAAGGCAGCACTACAGAGATAACGGGAGAGATGGATCCTTTACCTGCTAGTTCACTACAAATAGCTGCAAACTTTGGGGCGGGGTGACATCAAACCCGGCAGCCAGAAGCCTCTTCTGGGTCTCCCACGTGGGTGCTGAAGCCTAAAGATTTGGACCGTCCTCGGCTGCTTTCCCAGATATATTAGCAGGAAGCTGGATGGGTAGTGGAGCAGCTGGGATTCAAACTGGCACCCATATGGGAAGCTTTTCCCTGCTATACCACAGCACTTGACCCTGAAGTTATAACATTTCAGGGTTTTGTTGGACATGAATCAAGTCAGACTTTCACTGTATTAATGCAAGGGTGAAATTACATCAATTTTTCCCCCAGAACAGAGTTTATATAAACCTTGTCATAAGGTATCTTTGTATATAATATGAGGATTTGGGCACCAATTTCTCTTCATCTAATATTCTTTACTAGCTACTGGGAAGTGTTTCCTGCTCCCACTCTCCACTAGGATTCATACTGAGTCGAAAGGATATTAAAAAAAATACAATGCTGTTTATAAAAGTAGTCACAAACATGAAATACAGTCTTGCTAACCTGTAATGCTTTACATAAAGCAGCATTTATGAAACGCCCTGGTGTAAAAAGACTCCGCAGATACACCTCCTGTTGGAACATTAAAATAAATTAGTATTTAAAAAGGTAAAATTTGGAAATTTTTCTTGAAAGAATTCAACACACTAATACAGAAGTTTTAGTTCCCATTATAGACACTTCCCCTTTCTCTAGCTGAACAATACAGTAACACAGTTACTTTTTTTCACACTGGGATCAACTATGTCCACTGGCATGCTAACGTGAGCACGGAGTGTGCCATCAAGCTGCACAGGAGAACCTGGCTGCCTGTAAGGGCAGAACCTGGCTTATTAGAATATAAACTGGTTAAGGAAAAACTTCAACTAAGCTGTTACTCATTCTAGCTAAGAAGCAGTCACCTGATGGGCTTACAATAAATGGAAAGGTACTGGCAGAAATAAACAATGTAAGTAAAATAAACAAATTTCAATAATCTTTCACAAGGGTGGAAACAAAGTAGACAATAAAATGGAAAATTTCATACTGTGCAAGTATTTTGAACAAATCTCATAAACCAAATTTGCCCCTAAGTAGCAAATTTAGCTTTAATTCACATTTATTTTCTTCTACTGAGGTTCTGGTGGGTGATAAAATAAGGAAAAAACCAAGGATTTTAATAATTAGCAAATGGTTTTTGACTATAGGATAAAACCCAAGTTTCAAGGTGTTGCTAAATGGAACAAATAATTACCACCAGTAAGCTTTCTTGGGGGCAAGCTAGAATTATTTTTTTAAACATAGGGGTGACTTTGTGGCACATATGAGGCCACTTTAAGCTGTTAACATGAAGAGAACCCAGGTTGTCCCATAGAATGCAAACGTGGTCTGTATACACATAGGAATTGTGACAGAAGATTCACTATCTGAGCTTTTCTCTACACCATCAGGCACTGATGTGACCTGGACCTGGTATCATGCTGGTTCCCAGTCGTCCCTGAAATATCCGCTTCAATTATTCAGCTAGCTGTGACAGAACTGAAGCAACAAGTTGCAGAAGACAAATCACTTGATGCTTAAAGGAAGGACTTCAGAGCTGACATCCCTGAGCTCCAAGAAGACACCTTTGCATCTAAAATTCAGAGAAAAGAAGTGCAGAGTAGCGGCCGAGAACTGCCCAGTGGGCATCACAAATGGATTTGACAAATGCCACAGCAGGCACTTTGGAAAGGGCCACACTTGACTCCAGGAGTGGAAGCTTGTCCTCATCAGAATCCTGTCAGCAAGGGAGCCAGGCTCACCCACAAATCCCTCCTGGATGGAGCACACCCAACCTGGTACCCAGGTCCCAACACCTCCCCAAGTCCCTGCCTCCGAAGTCCTCCTCAATACTCTTGTATTTTCCAACTTGATATTTAAGGTGGGAATTCTATACCTGCCAACAGCCATTGCTTCAGACCCACAATCTTTAGTCTCCTGCTAACACTAAACACATCCACTGAAAGCCTTCTTTCAGGATGTTTCCATTTATCCTGTGGGTATTTCTGACGAACAGAGAGACCAGCCCCTTGCCTTCTCTACTGAACTATCCTTCAAAATCATTCTCTGCATGGCACAGACCTCTATGAAAATCATCTGACTTCTATGTATGCGCTAACATGCACAGTGGACCCCTAGCAATTGAGCCTCCCCAGCATCTGTCTCCCACTTCGTTTAATAACAAACGCTTTATTTTTAGGAAATTATCTATCCTCCGCTACACATTCTCCCTCACCTCACTAGTTCTTACAACAGCGAGGCCCAGGCTGGAGGCGCGTCATGTCAGGCCTGACTGTCCTGTTTCTTCTACCGGAATGATTCCAGGGCCTGAGACAGAGGTGCTGGCTTCCTTTCTCTGAGGTTGCTAAGTTCACGGAATGCAAACTCATTCGGAGAGAGAGCCAGCCTGAGAAAAACTCAATGAGGAATGAAGAAAAGAAAGCAAGCCAGGACCAGGCCAGGTCACACTGAACCTGGCTTCTGTCAGCTCAAGGTGGGTTTCTGTCACCTCAGCTCAAAAACTCCCAACATGACAGTCTCATCTTCAACCAGTGGCCAGGAGACACTGTGTGGCTTACTTACTCTGGGGTCTTGGTCATCTCTGATGATGAGATCTTCCTCTGGTAGAGACTGGATAAACACAGGATTCCACTGACCTGCAACATTCCTGCAGAGACAAAAAGTGCAGCGGTGTGCCTCAAACTGAAATCTATGCTGCCGACACTGGGCAGCGAGCTCCCTCTGTCGAACCTCTGCTACGACTGATCAATTCTACTAAAAACAATTCAGGGCCAGACATGTGGCGTAGTGGTTAGCTACCTGGCAGCTCCACCTTCCTGTTAACGCACATCCTGGGAGGCAGCAGGTGACTGGGTTCGTGTCATCCACGTGGGAGACCTGGACTGAGTTTCTAGCACCTAGTTTCAGCCCCAGCTGGCATGTGTTGTGGGAATTCAGGAAGTGAACTAGCAGATGGGAACTATTTCCCTGCTTCTCCAGTAAAGCAAAACAACAACAAAATAACAAAAAGGGCTTTGTCTTACAGATTTATTTGATGGGGACTGGCATGATGGCTCAATTGATTAGTCTACCTACAAGTGCCCAAATCCCATACAGTGTCCCAGCTACTCCACTTCCCATCCAGCTCCCTGCTTGTGGCCTGGGAAATCAGTTGAGGACGGCCCAAAGCCTTGGAATCTTGCACACATGTGGGAGACTCGAAGAAGCTCCTGCCTCCTGGCTTTGGATTGGCTCAGCCACAGCTGTTCTGTTTGGCTATTTGGGGAGTGAACCAGCGGATGGAAGATATTTCTTTCTGTAAATATGCCTTTCCAATTGAAAAAAAAAAAGTAGGACAGCTTAAATTTGTTTGACATTTAATTTGCTTAAAAATTTTTTTTTTTGTATTTATTTGAAAGGCACAGTGACAAATGAGAGAGCATCTCTATTTACTGGTTCATTCTTCAAATGCCCGCTAGTAGTTAAGGCAAAGCTGAGTTTCCCACATACACAGGTGGCAGGAAGCCACATCCTTGGGCCAACATCTGCTCCCTCCCAGCACGCATCAGCAGGGAGTCAACCGGACACGAAAAATTCCTGTCTTACAATTCTCTAACATTCACAATGGCCCAGGCTGGAAGAGGCTAAAACTGGGAGCTCAATGTAGGCCTCCTACATGGGTGACAGGAGCCCATCACTCTGCCTCCAGGTTCCGCATTAGCTGGAAGCTAATGGAGATACGAGCTTCACAGCTGGGAGTCAAATGGCCATCTCCTTAACCAAGTTAACAAGCATCTTTCTGAAATCGAACCTCTAAACACCAATCTTCAAATAATATGCTAGGTGCAGTTCTAGAAATCATCATGTTTGCCTTATGACAACTCTTTGAAGGATATATTAAACCCCATTTTACAGGTATAAAAAGTGAGGCTTAGGCATTTTATAGTTACACAACCAGGATTCCAATCCTGCTTCAGTTATGGAGTCTGCATTCTTTGATCACTTTGCTTCAATGTCATCAATAGGGAAAACTTTCACATTCTAAGACTTGTGGCTTGGGATCAATCTGGGAAGCCACTCCCAGAATCCTCCCCTAGAATTTAGGATGAAGAGGGACCCAGATGACACCATGAATTCAGGGGTCCCTAAGCTGTACTTCAAAGACTCTCCCGAAGATGTTTTAGGGACACACAGTAGTTCCTTCAAAACTGGGTTCAAAAAATAAATTTACAACCATTAAAACAGTTTTCAACATCAGATACATTAAACATAGAAACCTGATGTGTTTAACTGTGAAAATTATCAACATGTTAAGTGGAATTCTAACTTTATAATCACAAAATATTAGTTTTGTTTTCTTAGCATCCATTTACTTTGAAAAAAAGGGGTGGTCTGGTTTTTAAAAAAGGGCTGGGGGCCCGGTATGATAGCCTAGTGAATAAATCCTCGCCCTGCATCTGCTGGGATCCCACATGGGCGGTGGTTCATGTCCCAGCTGCTCCACTTCCCAAGCAGCTCCCTACTTGTGGCCTAGGAAAACAGCAGAGGATATCCCAATGCCTCGGGACCCTGCACCAGCATAGGAGACCCAGAGGAAGCTCCTGGCTCCTGATCAGCTCAGCTCCAACTATTAGGACCACTTGAGGAGTAGAGCAGCAGATGGAAGCTCTTTCTGTATATCTGCCTTTCCAATAATAAAAAAAAAAATCTAAAAAAGAAATAAAGGGCTGGGTGTAGTCATTTAGTCTATTGGTTGGGATAACTACATTCCTTAGAGTTCCTGGGTTTAAATCCTTGGCTCTTCTCGTGATTTAGCTTCCTGCTAATGCACACCCTGGGAGGCGGTGGGTGATGGCTCAAGGAACTGGGTCCCTGCTGTCCATGTGAGAAATCTGAGCTTCCAGTTGTTGGCGCTGGTCCTGCCCTAGCCCCAGGTGTTGCAGGCATATGAGGACTGAACCCATAGATGTGAGTTCTTTTTCTTTTCCTCTCAAGTAAGTAACAAAATAAATAACATAAAATTTGGGGGCCAACACTATAACAGGTAGAGCTGCTGCCTGTGACACCAGCATCCTATATGGGCTCTAGTTTGGGTGCTGGTTGCTAATGTGTCTGGAAAAGCAGCAAGTGTTTGCCAAAGTGTTTCGGTCTCTGTCACTCAATGTGGCAACCAGAAGCAAGCTCCTGGTTCCTGTCTGGTCCTAGCCACTGCGGGTATTAGGAAGAAAATTCTTAGAAGTATTTTGGCTATATGCTCTCTCCAAAGTCATGTTTTCCTTTATGTTGGTCCAACTCTAGGAATTCTCATATTCTCCTAAAATCAAAGGTAAGAAATACCACAAAATGCAAAAGAAGGTACTTGAGAAAATAGTAACAAAAAGAAAACCCTGAGTTGAATCCTTCAAATGAAAATCCTTGACTTCATTTCTATGTTAAAAAACCTGTTATCTTGTTGGCATGCAACTGCTTCAAGCAAGGCAGGATGACAGAGTTGAGAGTGATCGTACTGTTCAAAGTTGATGTATTTCACAATTGTTTGGTTCTCAGCATCATGCCACAGAGCCCAGATGTCCGTGCAAGTTAAGGCAAAGTCAACCAACGTCTCCTAAGAGGAAATGTGGGAGAGGGAGAAAGAGTAAGAAAAGGTAGTTTATGACAACTTATATGAATTGGGAGGAGGGGTAAATACACCAAAACCACGGCACCACATCAACTTGGCAAACCCAAATGAAATGGTTCCCGTGCACCAAGACAAACTTCAGTTTAACCCTACAATCCCATGACAACACACTGGGGGTAGGTGCACTTCCTCCTTGTACTTGAATGACAGGATAAAATTCACTGTACCTGAGAAGTGAAGAGTGAGGAGATATGATCCAGGCTGTAACGGTTATTCTCAGTGCTCACCAACTGGAAGACGCAGAACTGCAGAAACACAAGCTGATAAATTAGAGCTGGAAGTGACCAACATACTATTTTTTAAAAAGCGCTATTAGGGCCTGGCGGCGTGGCCTAGCAGCTTAGGTCCTCGCCGTGAATGTGCCAGGATCCCACGTGGGCGCCGGTTCTAATCCCAGCAGCTCCACTTCCCATCCAGCTCTCTGCTTGTGGCCTGGGAAAGCAGTCGAGGATGGCACAATGCTTTGGGACCCTGCACCCGTGTGGGATACCCGGAAGAAGTTCCTGGATCCTGGCTTCGGATCAGCACAGCACCGGCCGTTGAGGCTGCTCACTTGGGGAGTGAATCATTGGACGGAAGATCTTCCTCTCTGTCTCTCCTCCTCTCTGTATATCTGACTTTCCAATAAAATAAATAAATCTTACAAAAACAAAACAATAAATAAAGCAAAAAAAAAAAAAAGCACTATTAGCATTCAGGAATCATTACTGAAAACTGTGGTAAAATACCACTGGTAACTGCACAGTTTAGTGACACTGAATGCATTTATGCTGTGCAGCTGATCTCTGGAATTCTTCATCTTGCATATTGCAACTTCATATACCCATGAAGCAACAATTCCCCATCCTCCTGTTCCCTAGCCACCAAATTCTGCTTTCAGTCTCTGAATTTAACTACTCTAGGTACTCACACGTAAGCGTAACCATATAGTATTTGCCTTTTGGTAAATGGCTTATTTCATGAAGTAATGTCTTCAATATTCATTCATTTGCAGCATATGTGAGAATTTCCCTACTTTCCAAAGTGGAGTAATATTCAATTACATGTATGCACAACACTTTGCTTCTTCATTTACTATGAAAAATGCAGCTATGCATATGGCTGGCAAATATCTTTCTGATATCCTACTTTCATTTCTTTTGGTTATATAAACAAAAGTATAATTGTTGGTTCACCTGGTAGTTCTCTGTATGAATTTTGTAAAAAAAAAGATTTACTGATTCAAACAGTAGAGCAACAGAGAAGGAGAGACAGATGAAGATCTTCCATTGATTTGTTTACTCTCCAAACATCTGCAGCAGCTAGATCTGAGCCAGGCTGAAGCCGAGGGCTAAGAGCTCCACGCTGGTCTCCCATGGGTGGCAGGAGGCTGAGAACTGTTCTCTGCTGTTGCTTTCTCAGGTGTGTTACCAGGGAGCTGGACTGCAAGGAGGGCATCCAAGCTGTAAACTGGTCAATGTGGGAGACCCAGGGCAAGAGCCGAGCTCCTCGCTTTGGCTTGGCCTAGACTTGGCAGTTTCAGCTACTTGGGAAGTGAACCAGCAGATCTCTCTCTTCCTCTCCATTACTTGGCCTTTCAAATATTCAAATCAGAATTCATCAGATTCTCTTCAGCTATACAGTTGTGTAAGACCAGACATATATAACTGAAACAACAAGAGTATCCGTATCTGGAAGCAGCTTGGGTTGGGGTGCAGAAGCAGTGGGGAGAGGGCTTCCACACATAAAGGGAAGCCCAGAACAAGGTAGAAATTCTGGCGAGGTGAGGAGTGGGCCAGGGTACAGTGGGTGGGGAGGGAATCCACATGGAAGTCTGCAGTGGTCTACAGAGAGCAACCGGAGGAGGGAACGTCCAGGGCCATGAAGCAGCTCGGGGAAGGAAAACTCCAGCAGAGTGGGAGAGACCTGCCTCCCAGCAATGCTCTTAGGATCAAATGGGCAATAAATGCGTAGTGTGAGCCCACAGTAAACAAAATCCAGATGTCTGTTATAATGAATGTACCCAACACAGTGCCAAACACACAACAGCAAACAAATGGCTGTTCTGTATATGACCACACCATTCTATCAGTTGAATATTACTCCTACATATCTCATCTATTAATTTATATTTTTATCTCCCTAGCCTTCCATGTTTGCTTTTAGTTAACTTCTCCTTAATATTCCTTTAAATTCTCTACTTCATTTCATTCCCGATTCCCTCCTTCAAATTTTTCTAATTTACATGTTTGCACAAAACCACCATCATCTCAGAAACAACACCTGAAACATGAAGCTTGGCAAAAAGAGCTTTAACAGACTCCAGGAGCCCAGAGCTACGAGGACTTCCCCTCTTCAATACACACAGAGTAACCAGAAGTGGGTCTTCTCTGTTTCCTACCTGTCCCCGTTTGGGCGCGTGCAGGTACGTCCCCAGGTAGAGGCCCATGGAAGGGGAGTAGGCAAGTCGCAGTTTATGTCCGGTCCCAGCAGTGAGTCGAAGGTCTTTGTTCACAGGCACATACTCCAACATGTCTGCCACCATTAGACACATCTGATCCTGTCCCAAAATAAGAGTTAACAGGCATATTCAAAGAATATCCTGTCTAGAAAAATGTATTCTTTATGTTTTTAGAGGATTTACATCAACCATATCCAGTACTTTCTGTAGTCTTTTTGTTTCGCTTTGTTTGTTTTTGGTAAGACCTATTTTTTTACTGGGAAAGCAGATTAAAAGGAGACAGAAAGATTTTTCCCTCTGCTGGTTCACCCTCAAATGGCTGCAGCAGCTGGAGCTGAACCAATCTGAAGCCAGGAGCCTCTTCTGAACCTCCCGTGCGAGCACAGGGTCCCAAGGCTTTAGGCCATCCTCTACTGTTTTTCCAAGCAGGGAGCTGCATGGGAAGGGGAACATATAGGACACGAACCAACACCCATAGGAGCTGCTGGCGCTTGCGGGCAGAGGATTAGTCAAAATAACCATCTTGCTAGCTGCTAGGGTCATTTATTTTTCAAGGACTAAGATGAAAAGCATCTCTTCAAGTCTTTCAGTCTGATACATAAAAACATCAGCTATGCAACCAGCATTGTGCTACAGTAATTTGAGCCACTGCTAGCGAAGTTGGCTTTCCATATTAGCGTGCTGGTTTGAGCCCAGTGCACTTTTTCATCTAGCTCCCTGCTAATGTACCTGGGACAGTAGTGGAGGACGGCCCGCGTCCTTGGGCTCCTGCCTCTGATACGGGAGACCTGGATGGAGCATCACGGCCCCGGCTGTAGCCTGATGAGTCCTGGCCACTGTGGCCAATTGGGGAGGGAATCGGCAGAAAAAATCTTTTATATAAAAATCGTAAATGAAACCAGCTATTCTCTTACAAATCTCAAAAACTACTTCACTAACCTGCTTCTTAAAAAATTTATCTAGGGCCTGGCGCGGTGGCGCAAGTGGTTAAGTCCTTGCCTTGCATGCCCGGGATCCCATATGGGCGCCGGTTCTAATCCCGGCAGCCCCGCTTCCCTTCCAGCTCCCTGCCTGTGGCCTGGGAAAGCAGTCGAAGACGGCCCAAGGCTTTGGGACCCTGCACCCGCGTGGGAGACCCGGAAGAGGCTCCTGGCTTCGGATCGGCATAGTATCGGCCCGTTGCGCTCACTTGGGGAGTGAATCATCGGACGGAAGATCTTCCTCTCTGTCTCTCCTCTCTGTATATCCACCTTTCCAATAAAAAAATAATAAAAATAAATCTTTAAAAAAAAAAAAATTTATCTAGGGCCTGGTGTGGTAGCCTGGTGGCTAAAGTCCTCGTCTTGAAAGTACCGGGATCCCATTTGGGCACCGGTTCTAATCCTGACAGCCCTGTTTCCCATCCAGATCCCTACTTGTGGCCTGGGAAAGCGGTCAAGGGTGGCCCAAAGCCTTGGAACCCTGCACTCGGGTGGGGGTCCTGGACGAGGCTCCAGGTACCTGGCTTTGGATCAGCTCAGCTCCAGCTGTTGCAGCCACTTAAGGGGTGAATCATCTCTCTGTTGCTCTTCCTCTCTGTTTATCTGAATTTCCAATTAAAAAAAAATTTTTTTAATCTGGGGCCAGGTGCCATAGCATAGTGGCTAAAGTTCTTGCCTTAAATATAGTGGGATCCCAGATGGGCATAAGTTTGTTTTCTAGCTCTGCCACTTCCCTTCCAGCTCCCTACCTGTAGCCTGGGAAAGCAGTAGAGGATGGCCCAAAGCCTTGGGACCCTGCATTTTCACAAGAGACCCAGAAGAGGCTCCTGGCTCCTGGCTTTGGATCGACTCAGCTCTGGCCATTTGGGGAGTGTACCAGCTGATGGAAGATCTTTCTGTCTTGCCTTCTCTCTGTGAACCTGCCTTTCCAGTAAAAATAAATAAGTCTTTAAAAAAAAAATCTATTTGCAGGGCCCAGCGGTGTGGCCTAGCAGATAAAATCCTAGCCTTGAAGGCGCTGGGATCCCATTTGGGCACCGGTTCTGATCCCGGCAGCTCCACTTCCCATCCAGCTCCCTGCTTGTGCCCTGGGAAAGCAGTCAAAGGCGGTCCAAAGCCTTGGGACCCTGCACCTGCGTGAGAGACCTAGAGGAAATTCCTGGTTCCCGGCTTCGGATCAGCGCAGCACCGGCCATTGCAGTCACTTGGGGAGTGAATCCTCGGACGGAGGATCTTCCTCTCTGTATAATTCTGACTTTCCAATAAAAATAAATAAATCTTTTAAAAGAAAAATCTATTTGCAAAAAAAAAAAGAGAGAGAGCGAGAGTGAGAATGATACATACATAAAGAGATTATTCATCTGCGGTTCAGTCAGCCAAACAGGAACCAGGAGGCAGAGCTCCCAGCCAGCTCTCCTCCAAGGAGCTATGATGCCAGTGCTTTCTGGGCCATCACTTACTGCATCCCAGTGACATGAACAGGGAGCTCAATGGAAAGCAACATGACGGGGACTTACTCAGCATTTCAGTTTTGAATGTGGGAATTGCTAGCAGTGACTTATCCTGCTATAGCACAAGTCTAGCTACCTCATCCCTCAATTTTTATTTTTAACTGATAGTTAAGAATTGTATTTATGGGAGACTACGTCTATGTGATATCTCAAGGTGTGTACACACTGTGCAATGTTCAACAGCAAACATGACCATGCCCAAAGTGTTCATCACTTTTTTGGCGAAAACATTCAAAACTCATTCTAGTTAATCTTTTTGAGCGCACACACAGTACATTATTGTTCTCATAGTTGCTCTACTATGTTACAGAACACCACAACTTCTTTCTTCTAACAGTTTACCACTTCTTCATTGGCTTTTCCCCACTCGTCTTCTCCCAACTCTCCTGAGCCTTTGGTAACCACCATTCCAAGTCTCCCACGTGGGTGGCAGGGACCTGACTGCGTTACCACTGCAGCATCTCAGGGTTCACATCGGCAGGGAGCCAGAGTCAGGAGGCAGCGACAGGCACACACACCTCTGACAACGAGCTGTGCATTTCAGCAGGTATTTTAACTGCCAAATCAAATTCTGACCAACGGGTTCATAACTTCTGATGATCTCAAAGAGGAGCAGGATCTTAAATCTCACAACTTGCTATCTTCTTTCAACTTGCAGTAAATGCGCCATTTACCTTGTAAGACCACATCCGCAGCTTATGATCCTGACATAGAGCAAAGATGAACGCGTCATGCTCCACACAATGAACAGCAAGGCTGAGGGCTCGATCCGAAGCGCCCTGGTCACCCCTGCAAACAGAAAGCCAATGCAGAGCTCCGTGGTTGCAAAGGATTTTCAATTCAAGTGACAGAACTACAATATCATCTGGCTTATAGCCAATTATTACAACTAATTTTAAAAGACTATATAACAATGAAATACTATACCTTTTTTTTTTTAAATCTTTTTATTCTAACCACCAAAATTTTTCTACCTCTAATAAACTGGAAGGACACTATGAGAGAAACAGGAAGCCAATCACAAGTGAAGACTCTGGAGCGTGGATTTCCTCAGGTGGAACACGATGCTCTGCAGCCTTCTCTCCTCCCCATCACTGGGAGAGCACCAAGAGATGCTGACCAGGGCAAACCCACCAACACGGGAGCGCTCGCGCTCAGCTGTCCGGTCCCACTCACCTGATAGCTGTTGGCATCCAGCCTATCAGTAGCCGCTGCATTACTGAACTCTGCTTCAGTTCCACAATGGACGTCGCCCCTGCAACAAGATCCAGGGACCTGTGAGCAGACTCAGAACCAATGGGGAGAGCAAGGATTTCACAAGCAGTGATGGGCGTCTACACTTCTAAGCTAACAGCTTTATTATGTATCTTACCTAATGTCACACCTAGCATCACTACTGGATCAATACAAATAGCACTTTTAGAGTCCCAAGGGGTAAACTTTTCCTACAATGCCATTCAACAGAATCATTTCATTCTTTCTAAAATAAAATAAAATAAAATCACCGGCATGTTTCATGTGTCTAGTGTAGCTCCAGGTGCTGCAGACACAGCCATAAGCAAAATAACAAATACAGAACTCCTGTCCTGTGGTGCAGACATATTAAGTAATTCCGTAGTAATGAGAAAAGAAAACTGAAGTACAGGAAATGCTTGGGGTGCCTGTGTGTGTGATGGCCTCAGTGACACTGACTCAAGTCCTAAAGCAGACGAAAGAATGAGCTGAGCCAGTACTGGCTATTGCAGGCAAAGGGCTAGACGTAGGAGTGTGCTTGGCTGTTGAAGGCATCGCAGCAGAGCATGAGCTGCTGCAGACAAAGGGAGAGAATGAACAGCCGAGACAGCAGTGGGGCACCCTAAGGACTCTGGCATTAGGCAGAGATGAAGGACGGCTGCTGTAGGACATCGTGAGTAATGCAGTGACAAGATCTAACTCGTGTTTTAAATTTCTCAGTGTGCCCGAGCAGTTTCTAAAGTGCAGTTAAAGACAATTCTAGAGAGCTATTTAAGAAACTGATGCAGGAATTCAGGCAAGAGGTAGTACTGAGTTGGAGTGAGGCATCAGTAAATTTGTTTCAATTATTTTTAATTACAACACCTCAATCTGATGATGGACAGCTAGTCAACTCACCTTCATAACCAGACTTAGAATAAGCTATTTCATGACATAAAATCTTGCTCTCCTCAAAACACAAGATAAAGCACCCGGGATTCATGACAGCAAATGATGAAGAAACAGTTCGGGGTACTACAGAAGCCACTGTCTGTACTGGGCCCTGGGCTGAACTTGCAAGCTCTGTTGAAATGGCAAACTTGTGTTCAAAGCAGAATCAACCCAGTTCCGATCCTCACCCGGCATGTCGTAAGGAGGCAGTTTCAGAACAAAGAGACCCCCAGAAGCAGAAGGCAGTGCAAACAGAGCCTCTCCATCGCTGCTGAGCCAGGCTGCAGAGGCCGTAGAATTAGGAGCTGGCCCAGGGACCGTCGGAATCAACTGATGGTTGCTGCGATCCCTGAAGTCAACTTTTCCAATGTCAGTGAACACCGACTGCATTTGGCTTTCAACTACTAACTCCTGTGAAGGAATGAAAAAGAAAAACGTTAGATCAAAACCACTTAAACAATATTCAGTGGTTTTCAGTTGTTTTAAAACAAAAAGTTTCTCAAATAAGAAAATGTTGAAACGAAGAAAAACTGATATTTTCTTAAATGCAAACTATTTCTTCAGCTTAAAATGTGACTGGTCATTCTGAATAATAACTAGGAAAGTATGCTTGGTAAGGGTTAACAAACCACCCACATTTCCTTCCATTCCAAAGGACACTGATCTGGCTCTAAATCTGACACAGGTGGAACAATTTGGAAATGAAAGATGAAACACTTCACCAACGTACACTCCTATACATCCGGGAAGGATGTGGGAAAAGCAGCCTGTGCACTGTCTGATTGGTAAGTATCAAGATGATCACATGATTCTGTGTCTCAGAGACATAAACCCCTCCGGGCAAGACGCTGCAATTTTGGAATTTCAGGCGAACTGCATTATTCAGCAGGTTTATATCCAATGATTCTTCCACCAGCTCCAATGTATCTCCAGAGGTCTTCCTGTAAAAAGAGATATTTCAAACACAAAATCTGATCATTTTTATACTTCAAATCATTACATTATGCCGAGTTACAAAACACAGCAAACAGAAGCTCAGCGATCCTGTTTAAAGGAGGAGCTTCCAAACTGGACAGTAGTATCTGGAGTACTACTACATGGCATTAACTGCTACCATGATGAAAACACACACATTGTTCGCTCATATTTGTGCTGAAATGTGACTTAAATAACTCTTCCAATCTCAAATAAAATTGATCTCAATAACTGTATTCCACACTCTGCGGTACCACTAATCTATAAGACCAAAAAAGAACTTAACTTCATGTTTTTGCCCTAATACCTGGTATTTTTCTTAAAAAACAAAAACAAAAAACCCGCGGGCCCAGTACGATAGTGTAGTGGTTAAAGTCCTTGGCTGCGCGTGCCAGGATCCTATATGGGCGCCAGTTCTAATCCCAGCAACCATGTTTCCCATCCAGCTCCCTGGGTGTGGCCTGGGAAAGCAGTCGAGGACAGCCCACAGCTTTGGGACCCTGCATCCACATGGGAGACCCAGAAGAAGCTCCTGGCTCCTGGCTTTGAATTGGGTTAGCTCCAGTCATTGTGGCCACTTGAAGAGTGACCCATTAGACAAAGATCTTCCTCTTTACCTTTCTAATAAAAAGTAAATAAGGACCTGGTGCCGTGGCCTAGCAGCTAAAGTTCTTGCCTTGAACACGCCAGGATCCCATATGGGCGCCAGTTCTAATCCTGGCAGCTCCACTTCCCATCCAGCTCCCTGCTTGTGTAAAGCAGTCAAAGGTAGCCCACAGTCTTGGGACCCTGCACCCATGTGGGAGACCTGGAGAAGGTTCCTGGCTCCTGGCTTTGGATCGGTGCAGCACCAGCCATTATGGTCACTTGGGGAGTGAATCATCTGACAGAAGATCTTCCTCTTTGTCTCTCCTCCTCTCTGTATATCTGACTTTGTAATAAAAATAATAAATCTTAAAATAAATTAATAAATAAATTTTAGAAATGCTTGTTTATTTGGAAGGCAGAGAGACATGACAGAGGACTTGCACTGGTTGATCACTACGCAAACGTGCAGCAGCCACGAGGGGCCAGGCTGAAGGCAGCAGCCGGGAACTCAACTCCCACCTCCCAAGTGACTGCTCGGGCTGCAAACAAGTGACTTAGCTGCGCCATCTGCTCTGATATTCATACTGTGTGTGTGATATTTCCTAATAAAGAAATATTTTAAAAATACAAACTTTGCATGTTGATTACATGAACATTTAAAACTTGTACGCTATTCTTTTTTTTTTATTTTAAGAATTATTTATTTATTGGAAAGTCAGATATACAGAGTAGGAGCAGAGACAGAGAGGAAGATCTTCCGTCCGATGATTCACTCCCCAAGTGAGCGCAACGCCCGATGCTATGCCGATCCGAAGCCAGGATCCAGGAACTTCTTCCAGGTTTCCCACACAGGTGCAGGGTCCCAAGGCTTTGGGCCATCCTCGACTGCTTTCCCAGGCCACAAGCAGGGAGCTGGATGGGAAGTGGAGCTGCCAGGATTAGAACCGGTGCCCATATGGGATCCCGGGGCGTGCAAGGTGAGGACTTTAGCTGCTAGGCCACGCCGCCCTACGCTATTCTTTAATTGCTCAAAAGCAGCTTGTTTAACAGTCCCCCACGGCAAGCTCTGGCAAGCACAGAGATTTCAGTCACATGTGTTAAGGCGTCTTCAGCCCCAGCACAATCCCTGGGCCAGAGCCAGCATTCAATAAGTGCTTTTTGATACAAAGTATGTAAACTTGAAAAGAAAAGCTTTATTCAAACTCAAGAGGTGACATGGGAGACTAGCACTTTGCCTGATCTATGAGGTCGGGCTTCAACTCAGATGGAAACTCCTGACAGCCTTCTTCCTTGTGCCTAGCCCTTACCTATGACTGAGGCTGGCATGTGATCTTGCCCTGAATTAGTTCTGACTTGTATCTGTCATCTCCCTTCCCAGAGGGGTCAGATCCTCTGCATCCTCTTCCTGACCTGCTTGCTCCGTCCATCTAACAGTGAAACTGGCCACCCCCTTCCTTGTGGACCTCTTTGTGGCCCCGCATCCGTAGATCCAACCAACCACAGACAGAAAATGTGAAAAACAAACACCTACGCCTGTAATGAACCCATCCCCCTCCCCACCCTTGTCATCACTCCAGTAACAATATAACAATCCACACAGCATGAGGGAGGAGGTGGGTAGGCTTACACAAATACTACACAATTTCATGTTCCTAAGGGACTGAAACATCCTCAGATCCTGAAACCAGTCCCTGACAGATCCCAGACAAGCGCACTGCAACTTCCCCTCCAAACGCCCTTCTCAGACCAGCTGTCACTTGGCTTTTCTTCTTTTGCAAGGCCTGGGTGTGGGGGCTCTGCCCAGGACACTGTCCTCCAGTGTCTCCTCCACGGCTGGCAGCTTTCTTCACCACACTCCTGTGTGAGGCTCCCAGCACGGTGCCCATGTCCTGCCGGAGGCCCAAGGCCACAGTCAAATCTGCTGATCCTTTATTCCGGCTGAAATCCCTTGGCTGGAAGGTCAGAGAATCCGGACAGTCTGACTCCTCCTGTGCATGTCTGTTACTTACATCTTTCTCCATGACTTTCTTCCTCCCCTTATTACTCCTGTATAATCCTTACTGATCTCTGTATCCACTGTTTCCTAATCCGCTACCTCGTCTCCTTACTGAACGTCTCTCCTCTGGGGATCTGCTAGATCATTTCACACTGCCCAACAACACACTTTGTCTCCTCTAGAAGTCTCCACCATTTTCCAGCTACCCTAACCTGTGTGTCTTGTAGCAATCCTTCTTGAAGGAGCTGTCCTGTACCCGGACATTCGCAACAGCAGTGGAGCAGTTCCTGACCACGTCACCCTTTAATCTTCACAATACTATGGTCAATCTTCACTTCTCGCGTGACCTGGTACCTGCAGCCGCTGACAGGTTTTCACTCACTTCCTGACACAGCCCTCCAAGACATCAGTTGTTTTTTGGTTTGATTCTCATTTCAGCCTCTCCTGGGTTCCTTTGCTGCCTCTCTGTCTTTCTACCCGAGTTTAGTCTACAGGCCTCTTCTACATTGGTGATTCTCAACTGGGGTGATTCTGTCCCACTCCCCAAAGACATTTTTCACTGTGACAACGATGGGGGAGCAGGATGGAGAACAGAGAGCGGCCTCTAATACTGCTCCGTAACCTACATAACCGACACAGGACACTCTCCCCACCCCCTGCTGTCTCCAACAAAGGTTGATCTGGTCCCCCAGATGTCGACAGCACAAAGACTGAGCAATTCTGGTTTCCAGGATGGGCATCACATGCTTAAGCTGCTGCCCGTGACACCAGCGTTCCTATCAGGACGCCAGCTCAAGTCCCAGCTGTTCTGCCTCCAACCCAGTTCCCTGTGAACGCACCCAGAAACGCAGGGAAAGATGAACCAAATATTAGGGTTTGTCACCGACATAGGAAACAGGGAGTGCCAGGCTCCTGGCTTCAGCCTTGCCCACCCTGGCCATTGCAGTCATTTGGGAAGAAAATCAGCAGATAGAAGATCTTTCTGTCTCCCTCAATCACTCAGCGTTTCAAATAAATAAATCTTGAAACAACAAGAAAAACTTGATTTATTTGCATTCTCTTGATTTCATTCACCGTATTTTGTTTGTTTTTAGTTAAACAATGATAAAAAAAAAAAAAGACTTGTCCTGTCTTTATTTGAAAGGCAACAGATCTTGCATTTGCTGGTTCACTCCCAAAGGGTTGCAATAGCCAGAAGTTGGCCAGACTGAAATCAGGAGCCAGGAGCTTCCTCCAGATCTCCCACGTGGGTGCAGGGTCCCAAGGCTTTGGGCCGTCCTCTATTGCTTTCCCAGGCCACAAGTACGGAGCTGGATGGAAAGTGGAACAGCCAGGACATGAACTGGGGCCTACATAAGATGTCAACACTGCAGATGGAGGCTCACCCTACTGTGTCATGGCACCAGCATGGAATAAATATAGACAAACCTATGCCTTCAGGGTAGAGGCTGTGGATGACACTTCAATTGTTGGGGAGGACCCACCTGGTCTTGTAACACTGAGCCAATCAGTGAATGCTACTCTCTCATAGACAGGTTTTTTTTTTTTCCCCTTTGGAGAGTCAGATATACAGAGGAGAAGAGACAGAGAGGAATATCTTCCATCCGATAAATCACTTCCCAAGCAGCCACAACGACCGGAGCTTTAGCTGATCTGAAGCCAGGAGCCAGGAGCCTCTTCTGGGTCTCCCCTGCGGGTGCAGGGTTCTAAGGCCTTGGGTCATCTTCGACTGCTTTCCCAGACCACAGGCTGGATGGGAAGTGGGGCTGCCAGGATTAGAACCGATGCCCATATGGGATCCCAGTGCATTCAAGGCAAGGACTTAAGCTGTTAGGCTACTGTGTAAGGCCCAACCAGACAGACTTTTACATCCTTATTTTGTTTTTGCTTCTCTCAAAGCACTTGTGAATAGCAACTGCTTTCTTAATGAAATGATGGAGAACTTCAGGAAGTTCAGGAGCAAGACCTTTTCAGGAATCAAGATCTGATTCTCGTAACACACCATGGGAGCCCCATAGGATCACACCCAAGTTTGCAAATCTGCTCCTTCCCGTCATCAGATGCCGACTGCAGCCCAGTAGAGACACTGGAGCAACAGTGCAGAGCTGACTGGGAGAGGCCCTCCCAAGGGGCATGCATGTAATGGGCAGCAAAACAAGCAACTGTATCAGTTTGCAGTGCACGTGAGGCAACAGTTCTGTAACCCACAGCCCTAGTCCAATCTCCCTCAGTACTCATGATTCCTGCTCATGTTTCCATCCATGCCATCTCTAAATCCCTGGATCCACCAAACCAAAATATCCATATACATCCCAAAATGCGGGCTTCATCTACATTTTTCCCCAACTAATGGCATCTCTGTAACTTCCAATTACCCCATGCAAAAGTTTGGAGACACACCCTACAACAGACTGAAAGAATCGATTTAAACAAAAGCACCTTCAAAACATCTACATTCTGAACATTTCTTACCGCTTCTACCACCACCACCCTAGTTTAAGATGCCATCATCTTTCATCTGGACTAATCTTACAATTGATCTCATTTCTCCCATGTCTTCTCCACTATTCTTTATTCACAACAACACAGACACAGCCATCCTTTCATAACACAACTTAAGGACAGGCATGCAGCACAGCGCATGAAGCCACTGCTTGGGAGGCCCACTCACATCCTGCATCGGCATCTGGGATTAAGCCCTGGCTACTTGCTTCCAATCTGGCTTCCTGCTAAGGTGCACCCTGGTATGAAGGAGAGGAGAACAAATGCTGCTGAGTTTCACACTCCTGCCTTCAGCCCATCCCAGCCTTGGCTGTTACCACTCTGCCTTTCCAATAAACAAACATTAAAAAAATGCAACTTGGGCCCGGCGCGGTGGCGCAAGTGGTTACAGGTCCTCGCCTTGCACGCCCGGGATCCCATATGGGCGCCGGTTCTAATCCCGGCAGCCCTGCTTCCCATCCAGCTCCCTGCCTGTGGCCTGGGAAGGCAGTCGAGGACGGCCCAGGGCTTTGGGACCCTGCACCCGCGTGGGAGACCCGGAAGAGGCTCTTGGCTTTGGATCGGCATAGCATCGGCCGTTGCGCTCACTTGGGGAGTGAATCATCAGACGGAAGATCTTCCTCTCTGTATATCTGCCTTTCCAATGAAAAAATAATAAAAACAAATCTTTAAAAAAAAAAAATGCAACTTACATCACATTATTGCTCCTCTATGCAATGGCTTTCTTCCCACCTTGTTGCAACATTCAAAGTCTTAAAATGACAGACAAAGCCCCGATCTGGCCCTTAGTTTTTATTAACTGCAACATATTTGACATGGGGAAACACTTCTTAAACGAGTAAGATTTCTCTCTCTAACTCAAATCTCTCTTCAGAGCCTCAGACATGCACGCGTCAATGCTGGGGCCTCTTTGAAACAGGTATATTCAGAACAATCATTCACACGTTTCCATCGCTAGCTCGGCAAACGACAACCTCCCACCTGGTATCAGGTTAGGCACATCCAAACCCGGCATCGGCTTTGCTCTTCTCGCCTTACCATTTCCTGCCCACATTTAACCCCCCACCCAATCCAAGTAATTCTACCCTTGCTTACACTGGTCAGCCATCTATTTCCTTTTTCCTAGCCACTGCCACATTTAGCCACCATTAAAGTAAACTAAAGCTTTGCACTATATCCACCGATCTAAATCAATTTTCCACAAAGGACTTTGGTCCTGACCATTTGAATTCTTAAAGCCCTTAAAATTTAACTCTTCAAAAAGAAGTCTTCAATGACTGTTCCCTTATGATTAAACAGAGCCACCTTAAACACAAGGTGGGAGTCCCTGGCACTGTGTGGTCACCTGCCTCTCCTGCCACTTCGCTTTACCTGCTGCGCGGGAGCCACACGCACTTTCCATCGGGCTCTCCAAGGACTGCCCCACACTTTCACCCAGTGACATCTGCATTCACTGGCCCAGCTTTCTGAACCGCCTTCCCTCAACAATCTTCCATTCCTGCCTAGCCTGTCCTCCTGCGGGTCTCAGGTCAACTGGGACGACCTGGACATTTAGGGTCTCACAGCCCTGTACTACAAGAATATGCAAATCTGTATTTACATATCTGTGCTGCCACCCAGAGTTTTTTTTCCTTTACCGACAATGCCCCTTGAAGGCAGGTCCAGGTCTCTTCCTACTGTGCCGGTCTGATAACAGGGACAGGGTATGCTCATCCTTTCATCCCAGTACCTAGCACAATGCCTGCTCAAACCTGCCTCTGCGGTGAAGGCAGCTAAGTACTATAAAAAATAACGGGCTGGACTGGACACCATGACTCATCCCATCCCATCCCATCCCAACGCAGTTTCTGCCCAGGCTGCTCCACTTCCCATCCAGCTCCCTACTTATGCCCTGGGAAAGAAGTGGAGGACGGATGGTTCAGGTCGCTGGGACCCTGCTCCTGCGTGGGGAGCCTGGAAGAAGCGCCTGGCTTCAGACGAGCTCAGCTCCAGCCACTGGGGCCATCTGAGGGGTAAACCAGCGGATGGAGGATCTTTCCGTCTCTCTTACTCTCTGTAAATCTGTCTTTCCAATAAAAACAAATAAATCTTTCAAAACAAAAATCAGTGTGGATCTCTTCCTGGCACAGGACTAACCTTCGGGCCAGAAGCCACTCCCACACCCGGACTTGCAAGGGGAGGGACTGGCAGCCGCGGTACTCACCAATGAATGAACCTGTTCCTGGTGACCGACAGCAATTTGCCGCTTTCCATGTAGTAGAAACCCCCGGCGCTCTCATTGTACTTGGCGGTTCCAGCGGCCACAGTCGCCGTCCCTGCGAAATCCACGCCGTCAGCCCACACACGTGGGTCCCCGCGTGGGTGACAGGGGCAGCAGGCGCCGGGCAGGGGGTGACAGCCTGACCACCCGCCCGCGGACAAGGGGAGGCAGGGAGGAAGCGCTCCATCCCGGCACCGCAGGCATGTGGACCGAACCGGGGTCCAACAGGAGGTCCCGAAGGGAGACGCCGACGAGAGAGATGGGGCCGCACCCTCCCAGGTCCCTTCCGTACCCACGCAGCCGATCGTGAATTCCCGAAAGTGCCTCGGCCTCTCCCGCTCTGCGCCGCTCAGCTCCAAGAAGCTCCGTTCCAGGGAGCCCGCCGCCGCCATCTTCCCGCCGCCGCCGCCGCCGCGCGAGGCCCGACGGGACCACGGAGAGGCCGCGCCCGTCGTCACTTCCGGGGGCGGGGCGGTGGAGGAGCAACGGATGCTGCGCTCCCTCGCGAAGAAGAACAGGGCGTTCGCCCCTTGGGGCCCACCTGGGCTTGGGTCGGGGAACCGAGTGAGCCGGGAGGAGTCCAGGAGAGAAGCCCCAGCGCACTGGAAGCTTCGCGGACCCGGCTAGGGCTCCTCGGGAGAGCCTCGCCCTTTACCCGGCGGCCTCAGGGCCGGAGGCGGGACCGGCTGCGTTTCCATTTTACAAACGCCGGCGCGGGCGGGTCGCGAGGCTGGCCAGCCCGGAGGTGCGAGCTCCGGCCGTTTCGGTGTCCTCCTCCTGCGGATCTCGAGGTCTCCTGACTCCCTGTCGTCACGGTTCGGGGACGCGTGGCGGGATGTGTCGTGAACATTCTGTGTCGAAGCCTATCGGGTTCAGTTAAACGTTGACGCTGCCGACGTTAGAGGCAGCTCACCTGCGCGCGCGCCAGTGGACTTGGCCGCCTTACGTCCCACCCTTGGTCTCGTCCTGGCCGGCAGTGCAGCAGAACGCTTCTAGAGGATATTTGCAGGGTTACCACAGTGGACATTCACTATTGAGGAAAAGGCTGACTTCCACACTCACCCCCCCCCCCCGCACTCCCTAGTAATAACAGACAAGTCTGTTAAACACTCGTGTGTAACCTTGTTAGTGCCAGGACTGCAACTTCATTACTCCGTTTCATTCATCAGCTGCCTTGCCACAGCACACCCTCTGGGACACCAGCTGTAGCAGCCAGCCTTTTATATTTTTTAATTCCCCCTACAGTCTGTGGTTCTGCCATCTTTCCATCATCCCAAACTTCCTCCTGCTTCCTTGCTTCATCTTTTTTTTTTTTTTTTTTTTTTTTTTAATTATAAAGTCAGATATACAGAGAGGAGAGACAGAGAGGAAGATCTTGAAGTCGGGCCGCGGGGACTAGAACTGACGCCCATATGGGATCTCGGCGCGTTCAAGGCGAGGACTTTAGCTGCTAGGCCATGCCACTGGGCCCTTCCTTGGTTCATCTTAAATTCCATTAGTCCCCTACTGACTTTCTCTCTTTCTCTCTCTCCTTCCCTCCCTCCCTCCCTCTCTCCCTCTCCCTGACTCCAGTTAATACCACCACCCAGGTTCAGTTGAACATGTAGTGAAAAATAAGACACCCAGACTGGCATGCTCCCTCTCCCATCACAACCCCACTGGGGACCCTGTCATGCTCGCCACGTTGTATTTCCATTGTCCACCTTCTGTCCTCGATGAGTTATTTTTGTTTTTTCTTTGAACGAGTTCGGAGAGGAGAGACAGAGAGGGATCCTCCACCTGCTGGTTCACTCCCCACATAAGGGGGATTGCGTTCATTCCTCTCTTGAGAGTGGCAGGCGTCCATCACTCCTGCCTGGTGAAGTCTACCTTGGTAGAAGCTGGAGTTGGAGCTGGGAAGTCCACCAGCTTAGTGAGACAGAAACACCAGCTGATGTCCATTCATGCCCTGGCCTGGGGTTTCATTGTCGGCTCCAACAAGGCCTCCTTGCTTGACGCATGCTTCTTGCACCTTTCCCTGGGCTCCACACTCCCAGAAGTGCATCCAACGCACAGAGACATTGAGGACATGTTTGAGGAGTGAATGAGCCATCCAGGAAGGATAGATGAAGTCTGTTGTCCAACCTGTTCTGCTTTTCATTCTGAGAAGGCACCGACATGCTGGCGGTCATGTCCCCCGTGTGCATCCGGGCATGCAGTTGGCTGCACAGGCATCAGCAACTGAGAAGGTCCAGTCCTGGTACTTGTGCTCCAAGGTCAGACCACAAATTTGTAATTTTTCCTGTGGCTGGGGCTTGAATGCAGCCATCTAGTTGGGGAATCTTCCCAAGAAACCTCACATGGGGTGACCTCAAACTTGTGTGCACCACCAGTCAGTACAGGGTCAAGTTCAGTTTGTCACCTGTGCCAGCCAATGCACATACTGGTGGATGAAGTTGCTTGGTCTGTTCCACTCTCCAGCCCCATCTCTTATGTGAACCGATCAATGGGTGCTATATCCTAACCCAGTCCAACTTAGTCCCCCACAGACCCAGTCCTAGTCAGGATCCATGACCTAGTCAGGGTGACTCCCAAAACCCCACCACCAGGCCCATCTCCAGCTCCAGTTTTTGCATTTGCTGGCACGTGCTATGGCCCACCCCATCCACATTCCATTCGGCTCGTGTACACACCCATGAGTGCTGCAACTTAGCTCATCCTGACCGACCCTTAGTCCTGACCCACATGTATGCCGATAGGTGCCTTGCCTTGTCCGGCTTGGACCACCCCCAGTCCTGACTCTCATCAGTGAGAGCTATAACCTAGCAGGGTAGAACCTGCTAGGAGAATTCCCCTACCAGGCTTGTTCCCAGCCCCAGATCCTGCGCTTGACAGAGATTACTGTGGTCCAGCCTGACATAACTTGCATCCAGCCCAGCCCCAGTACTTGCCAGTGGATGATGCTACAGCTTTTCCTGGAGCAGCCTGCCCCAGTCCCAGCTCACTGACCCAGTAGGAGTTGCAGCCTAGCAGGCCTGTTCCCAGCTTCAGATCTTGTACCTGCTGGTGGGTGTTTGGAGCCGGGTATCAGTTCTCACCAGCTGCTCTCACTATCCCAACCAGGTACAGCCCACACCCCATCTTGGCTCTTGGATGTGTCAGTGGTTGTTGAGGCCTGGCCCAGCCTGGCCTTCCTCCAGACCCAGCTCACACACATGCTAATAAGTGCTGCAGCTTTGCCTGAGCTGATCCACCCCCAGCTCTGGCTCTCACAGCTGCAGCCCTAGCAGGGGAGTTCCCTAAGTTCCTCCACCAGGCCTGCTCCCAGTCCTGAATCTAACATGCTGGCAGGTACCATTGGCTTGATTGGCATAGTTTGAAAGTGGCATTATTTTTTTTTTTAAAGATTTATTTATTTATTTTTTTATTGGAAAGGCGGATATACAGAGAGGAGAGACAGAGAGGAAGATCTTCCGTCCAATGATTCACTCCCCAAGTGAGCGCAACGGGCCGATGCTATGCCGATCCAAAGCCAGGAGCCTCTTCCGGGTCTCCCACGTGGGTGCAGGTTCCCAAAGCCTTGGGCTGTCCTCGACTGCTTTCCCAGGCCACAGGCAGGGAGCTGGAAGGGAAGCAGGGCTGCCGGGATTAGAACCGGCGCCCATATGGGATCCCGGGCGTGCAAGGCGAGGACCTTTAACCACTTGCACCACCACGCCGGGCCCGAAAGTGGCATTATTTTAAAAAAAAACATCTTTCATTAGTGACACATCTGTTGTGGTATAAGTTGTAGCCCATCACGATATGGTTGTGTGTGGCACATCACACTTGAGACTAATTATCTCCACATATGTATGGAGAGATGAGACCTCTTTCTCAAGTTCCCAGTCTTCAACCTCAGCTGCCTCCCTGACATCACTTGGACATCCCCCAGGTATCTTGGACTCAACATGGACAAACCACATTCGTTGTATCCTTGTCCATACTTAACAGTGACAGTGACTCTGTCCATGAGGCTGCTACCACCCCATGATCCAGCTAGAAATCAAGAGATCATTCTGGATTTTTAAAAAGACCTATTTATTTTGGGGTTAGGGCAAAGCAGCTCCTGACAGTGTGGTGGCTGTGGGGGGTTCCCCTTCCTGGCTGGACCCGATGTTGGGGACTCAGGCCAAAGCCACTGCCGAAAGGCAGTGACTGAGTCCTTGGCTGGCCACCCGGCGGTGAACTCTGGGTTTTTAGGATAAGTAATTGCTGCCTAGGGACACCCATGAATAAGGCCAGCTTTAGGGTAGGTGAGAGATGAATTCTAGGTGATTCCCAGTAACGGGGTCATGAAGCTTTCAGGCAAGCATGTGGACTGAGACCTGATGGTTTGGAGGAAAGTGTCCATATGATCTATTAGGGCCAGACTGATTCACCAGCCCAATTAGCAATCCTGAGATGGGCTGTTAGCATAGAGCATCATTGTCGGCCACACACCAGTCCACACCAAAGCTATGGATGGGGGCCTGCCTGGCAGGGCTAGGTACCACCTGACTCAGTGGTGGACTAGTGGACGAGTTACACTTGGCAGGTCAAGACACTAACCAGCACGCGAGAGAACTCGGACCAGGAATAAACTCTGTTAGGGAAGTGTGGGCCCAACCTTGTGGAAATACAAGTCCCACAGGTTAGCTCTCAATTTGGGGTGATAATGGCTGAGCTAGGTGTGACCATGGCACCTGCCATCACTTATGGGTAAAGGAACTGATAGCAGTCTGGGCAGGTCAAGGCAGCAGCACCCAAAGGCACATCTAAAATAGGATGTGGGGTGGGCCGGGTAGGGCCAAGCAAACTCAAACTCACAAGAAAAAGTAAAAATCAGGATGGAGCACATGTCATGCTGAATGAGACTCTTACACCAACTGGTCTGCAAAAGCCAGGGATACTAGGCCAAAGCAAAGGTTGAGACAGGTGGGGGTCCTAGTCAACTGGATCAGAGCACCCACTGGCACATGTGTAATCTAGGGCTGGGAATAGATTCGGTTGGGGTGCTATGAGAGTACACCCTTGCTGGGTTGAGGTTTCCATGGGAGAGTGTGGGGACCAGAGTGCGGGCTGCATTCTGGTCTGGATATGGCTGCAGTCTCCCTTTGCATAAGTGTGAACTGGAGCTGGGCACACCGAGCGGGGCTAGATGCCAGCACCATCTGGTGCTCTGGAGAACCTCGGTAGATGTAGAATGGACTAGGCTGGGGCTCTGTCCCTACTGAGCCATGTGTGAGCAGTGTCTGGATATGGATAAGCCTTGGCCGGGCTGAAACATCCAACATCAAGAACTGGAATGAATTGAAGGCCAACAATGAGGGCTGACCTATGGAACCACCAGTATGAGCAAGATCTGGCATAGGGAGAGGTTCTGATGTAGGAGCTT